ATGCCATCCTCCTTGTGATGATGCCCTGGGCAACTGCCATAAAGTCACATCAAGAAATGCTGCTGATCATTCCAATGATCCCAAATAGACTCACATTAGGCCACATGAAAGCAACTGAACTCAAAAATATATTAACCAGTATATAACTGCACTCTCACACAACACGCCTGCAGCAACAGTTAGGACTCCTCCCTCCCTTTTAAAAGCGTTTTTGCTTCCGAGGACATTGTGGTTGTAAAACCACATGCTAGTAGTCTGGCCCCGGTGTGATCAACCAGTTTCTGCGGGAATGTGACGGCGGAACCAGGGCCAGATTAAGACTTTGTTGTACCCTGGGCAACAATATTCAAGGGCTCCATCATCACGACCCGAGGATCACCATAATATGGTCACATACAGAATATTTTACTGTAATATGCAGTAAATATACTCGATACTTGAATACCTGACAACACGTAACCCGCCCAGAGTAACCTTTGACCCACCTCGTGTGGACTGACCAATGAGGAGAGGGTCTTAACTTGAGGCCCTCTCTTCATTGGTCAGTCTGCATGAGACTGACTCTCAACTGACGTTCAGAGTCGTAGGCAGCGAAGCGTCTCTGTGCAGCGCAAAAGCCCGGGTGGACAGTTTGTTTAATGTAGGGTGATCATATTTCCATTTCCAAACAAGAGGACAGGGGATCTGTGCCTATGACGTCACACTATGGCAACGCCACACAATCCATGTTGGGACCCATTTTTTGTAAGAACTAAATTAATATCAGATTCTGCCAATAAAAGGGCTCTAAAACAATTCATATGTAAATATTTTGCATATTTAATGCAAAATCTCATTTTTATGCTTTAGTGCTGCAACAAGGTTTTATTAATAATAAATTATTATACCTTTTGTTTTACTACAGCATCGGTACGCTTCCTGTGCACAGATTATTAAGGATGCTTGTTTCAGCTGGGAGATTAGACGATAGGATCAATGAAAAAATAAGTTGTCCCACACTCCATGGAAACTTTCAGAGAATCCACAAATAGTGGCTTTCAAATGGTTTAGCTACTTTTAGCAAGTTTAGAAAAGCAGCAGATGAGACAGCATGTCTGATAATTTAGTTTTTCATCTGATAATATTAGAACATGTCAGTAATGTCTGAGGAGCTTTTATAAACACTGTATAACTAATACTCCTGGAGAGGGCATGAATTACACAGAGGCTTCTGGGGAGCCCAGCTATGGGGGGGGGGGTCATTTTGCCTTGGCCCCCAAAATGTCTTGAAACGGCCCTGGGTGTGTGACAGTGTTGAAGGTGATCTGAATTGTATCAGATGTATAAATATGACATGTGTATAACTTATTGTTTTTACTGGTAAAAACGTGTAATGGAGATAAATCTACCTACATTTTACTTTTCAACACTTTGTTTTGTTTTCTTGTTTTTATTCAACTATATTTTCCTGTCCTGTCTGTCTCTCATCTTCCTGCATCTCCTCTAAACTCTCCAGAAAATCTGCTGCCTGGATTCTTACTTTTTCACCTCATCAGTTACTTTTGAGCAGGTCAAAGGGATCTCCTAACCGCAAAGCGCAGAGCGCGTTTTTGATGCTGCGTGAGGTGAAATCACCGCAGCACAGGTGATGAGCTCCGCAGTAGCGTGCTTCAGGCACAAATAAGACAGAAAATAGAGAACATGTGCAGACATGAACGATCGTGTGCTAATTATAGTTTTTTGGTTGCGCCACTTTGAGAATGGACCATGCGCTGGAAGCAGCTGCCTGGATCGCAGCGCAACAATGCGGAACCGGTTCGCAGCAGCAAGTCTGCCGGCTCTCCCTCGCGCTGATCTGCGGCTCTCCCTCGCGCTGATCTGCGGCTCTCCCTCGTGCTGATCTGCGGCTCTCCCTCGCGCTGATCTGCCGGCTCTCCCTCGCGCTGATCTGCGGCTCTCCCTCGCGCTGATCTGCCGGCTCTCCCTCGCGCTGATCTGCCGGCTCTCCCTCGCGCTGATCTGCCGGCTCTCCCTCGCGCTGATCTGCCGGCTCTCCCTCGCGCTGATCTGCGGCTCTCCCTCGCGCTGATCTGCGGCTCTCCCTCGCTCGCGCTGATCTGCGGCTCTCCCTCGCGCTGATCTGACTTGCTCTGGTCTGCGCGCAACGGCGGGCGGGAAGGGGGGGGGGGGGGCGCTTTTGGAAGAGTTGTGCGACACAACGAATCGATGACGCAATTCGTTGCCAACGCTTTTAGTAATCGATTTTCATCGAATTTATCAATTCGTTGTTGCAGCCCTATTTGACTTTTCAACACTTTGTTTTGTTTTCTTGTTTTTATTTAACTATTTTCCTGTCCTGTCTGTCTCTCATCTTCCTGCATCTCCTCATAATTCTCCAGAAAATCTGTTGCCTGGATTCTTACCTTTTCACCTCATCAGTTACTTTTGAGCAGATCAAAGGGATCTCCTGACCGAAAAGCGCAGAGCGCGTTTTCGATGCTGCGTGAGGTGACATCACCACAGCACAGGTGATGAGCTCCGCAGTAGCGAGCTTCAGGCACAAATAAGACAGAAAATAGAGAACATGTGCGGACATGAACGATCGTGTGCTAATTATAGTTTTTTGGTTGCGCCACTTTGAGAATGGACCGTGCGCTGGAAGCAGCTGCCTGGATCGCTGCGCGACAATGCGGAACCGGTTCGCAGCAGCGCAAGTCTGCCGGCTCTCCCTCGCGCTGATCTGCCGGTACCGGCTCTCCCTCACGCTGATCTGCGGCTCTCCCTCGCGCTGATCTGCCGGCTCTCCCTCGCGCTGATCTGCCGGCTCTCCCTCGCGCTGATCTGACTTGCTCTGGTCTGCGCGCAACGGCGGGCGGGAAGGGGGGCGCTTTTGGAAGAGTTGTGCGACACAACGAATCGATGACGCAATTCGTTGCCAACGCTTTTAGTAATCGATTTTCATCGAATTTATCGATTCGTTGTTGCAGCCCTACTCCTAACTGACTTGAAAAACACTATTTTCTCCCACTAAATGACGCTCTGGCACCTACAGATGTGTTCATATAGATAAAAGTTTCTGTTCGTCTCCCTCCTCACTGGTCCCATCTTCACGGCTGGCTAAAGCACTCTCATGCTCTCTCATCCTTCACTTTCCACTTCCTGTGGGCCACTGGAGACCTCTATTGACCACAGCATCAATAATGCAGGTCTCTAATGTCTCTGCAGCATCTGATAAACTACATCCAGCCTCCCTTCTGTCCGTTCCCCACCTCTCTGCACACACTCGTGTGCACACACAAATAAGCAGCTAAGTGAGGGACTAATGAGAGCAGCTGAGAAGTTCTGACATTGCGTTAGATGCTGCTGTTGCACACGAGCTTTAAAGCAAATCCAATAGGGAGTAGCTTAAAAGGACAAGCAAATCAATGACTAGCTAAGTGAGGCTAAAGGAAGGAACGCTTGGACTATTTAAGCTAAGCACAATTGTCTAAAGGCTATACAATATTTACAGTCTACTCATTTGTGTTGTTTCCTTCCATCATCATGTCTTCAGTGGGGAGGAGAAAGCCAAAGCACAGATAACACATGGACTCCAACATACAGAGCTAATTTAGTCTAACAGATTTAAACACAGAACAAGCCTCTCTCATTCAGAAAACATTATTTAAATTACATTTATGTTGTTTTTACTTCTAAATATCCAGCTGGACATGGACTAATAAAGCATTCACAACTTTCAAAATGACTAAAGTGTCGGGTCATTTGATTTCACTCTATAAATTGTTAGAGATGCTTTAAAAAGGTCTCAATTATTTTGAAACAAAAAATTTCTTCAGAGAAAATAAACAAATAAAAAGAGTAATTTTAAAGGTGCAACATGTAAGAATGAAGTGACAATGACATCCTGTGGTCAAATTTGGTTACTTCAATCTACTTTTCTAAATAAATAAATAAATACATAGACTTTCTAACTGCCATTCCATTAGTTTTATGGCTGTTGCCAGTTACGGATCAGTGCCGGAAAATTCTAGATAACAAGCAAAGCCAAGTCATATACAGTAAGTTGATAAGTAGATAAATACATTTTTATATCTGGTGTTAGCACTCGTGGGTGTTTTGGGGTAGGGAGCACTTACTACACTTATTACGGTAGTATGTCCATGGCATTAGAGGAAGTGTGGTTGCTTGCTGTCCTAGTGTTAGCTTGCTGTTATAGCTCTGAACGACTCATTAAGGTAAGTAAAAAGCTACAATTGACTCTATTCACATCACACACATTTCACTGTAATATCGAATTGTTGGCAATTCAAAAAGTAGCTTGAGATATTTTTGTGGCTGACTATTTGCTTCTCATTCACCATTAGCATGGTTAGCACAACGTTAGCCTCTTGCCAGCTTCAATCGATCTTAGAGGCAAAACAAAAATATGTTGTGGCTTCTTAGGGGCACAAGAAATAACTTCTGGGTCGCTTGACGCAATCTGCTGGGTTCCTTATATAGGAAACTTTTTACTGATTGGCTTAATGAACTGAACTGTATTAGTGTTTACTGTGTGAAGTGCCTTCAGACGACTCTTGTCGTGATTTGGCGCTATATAAATAAACTTGAATTGAATTAAATTGAATCCTGTTTCCTGGCTATGGTTCTTTAAAAAACTCTGGAGCTTTTTGCCTGCTGGTGTCCAATTACAAACGCCGAATCTGCAGTGTTAGCTCTGTGCAAACTAAGCTGATTGTAAACAGTAACTATGTCCCCCTTTGTTTTGTTTTTAAGGAGAAAAACTGATGAACCCCCAGGCGCTGAGAATGAAATATGTTTCAATGTAAACCTCCTTCCAACAAGATGCAGCCATCAGACTGTTTTGTGATCATTTCACTGTAGAATTCGTACATATTACTCCTTTAACAATTATCTGTAATACAATAAGATTTAATGACAGATATTCCAGATTAGTACTGTTGTCAGAGGACACTGCTGCACACAAACAGAGCAGAAAGTGAAGTATAATTCTGTCACCTTACCTGGCTGCTGAATAAGGCCGGGGCTGCAGTTTCGGCAAATGCTCTGAAAAGGCAAGCACAAATGTCAATCATCTTGTTGTCTCGCTAAGATCTGGTTACACCTTTGACAGAGCGGAGAAGACGAAAATATATCTATAAAAGAAAAGAAAAAAAAACGTGTGAAAGTCATCGTGGTCCGCTGAGACAGCCTCTCTACCAATCTATCTCCTCTGTAACCCCCACCCAGGTTACAGTCTTGTTTCTGGGACACACTTCTATATTTATGAAATTACAAACTCAGGGTTATCGAATCCCATGTGTCCAGATGTGGAGCCAGTAGGAAACAAGATTGCTTATGCAGAGCTTATTCCAATGCCAGGCATGAAGGTGCCCTCTTTAAGGTAATACGTGTGAGGAGGTGTCAGAGGAATCAGGAAAAGTGTGAGATAACTTCTCACCCTGTGGCAACAGGACATTTTCTACTCAGCGACCTGCGCTGCTCATTAGACCTGAGAGAAGGTAGAGACTCATGCACCGGGCTTGATGTGCATTTCTTCAGACTTATTTCTGTTTTCATGATTAATGAAGCTTAAGTGAGTAAAGTTGTGCCATATGTACCTGCGGAGGTGCTACAACAACACATTCTGCTGCTAAATTGCTCAGAAAGACACAGCTGGACTAAATGCACTCTCAAGATTTCTCTGAAATCTGAGCAGCTCAGGCTGTCAGACAGAAACTTCTGCAATCTGAAATCCAATTTATCTCTTCAAGACGTCTTTTTCAAATGAGAACAACTAAAATTTACAAAAAATATGACAGGAGATCAAATGATTTTTCATTTAGAAGAGTAGGACAATGTTTTTAATTGAAAATGCACAAAAATTCACATAATGTCAACTGTGGCTTTTCTTTAAAGGTGTGGATCAATACATTAGCAATGGATTCTAGTAGGAATGAATGCCTTGCAGGCAGAACTCAGGGCTCTAAAAAGCCCACAAACCCCTGGCCCAGCAGGACCAGTCTACAACATCAGAGCTGTGCTTCAAACGAGAGGATTTGAAGCCTTACTTCCTGATATTTAGACATCGAGCCTCTGATTAGATAAAAGCAATGCGACTACCACTGACTGTTTGCTCGGGGATGTGGATGTTTTATCTGTACAAATAACAAGCCTGGAGAAGCTTCTGCCGTGTGTCTTCACACGGCAGAAGCTAACCTAGACAATAATATAACTATCAATAAATAAATGTCAAAGAGTAACTACAACAAAAATCTTAAGTAACCATTAAAGGTTAAACTGTGTTGTGTGTTCATCTTCATGGTTTCATAGTGGCTGAGCAGAGCGCTGACCAGAAACAACGGTGGTGGCAAACCCCGGTTGGGTCTGTGATGGAGTGATGCACGCCTGGAGTGACTGCCATCTCATCCACAGTAAACACACACTCTCTTTCCATCTATGTCAGATTTTTAACCTTCAAACTTGAGCATGTCACACACCTCTCCTAACACACCTGGTTCCAGCTTAATGGGCTGCATTTGTCTGTGCAGGGTTCTAACATCAGGCAGAGGGATACTCGTGTCCTGAAGAAACCTGTAGCCTGTTGAACCCACTGAAAAACCGAGTTGTACGGCCTTTTTGATTGTCTGTTTACTCCATTTAATGCCTCTTGTGTTTTTCCTCCCTTAGGTTGTCCAGCTGGGTTCCCTGGTTGCATCGCCTGTTCCTTTCTCCTCCTGGCCCTGACGCCGGCTCCTCATGGCTTCCTGGGATGTCCCTCTCTCCTGATACCATCTCATGTCCCCCCTCACTTTCCCTCATTTGCCTCACTGCTGCTGCTGCTTTCCTCATTCTCTGAAATTATAATGGCACTGTTAGAATAAAGGATAACTTTTAAATAAAATAAATACAAATGTCTAATATTTCTAACTTGAGTACAATATGTGTGGTCACTGGTCAGTGGATCAACATGCAGTGGATCTGCTGTACGTCTCACTGCAGGATCCTTCCTCCTCCTTGGTTCAGGGCGATGAACAAACAGGGTTGGTGCAGCATCAGCCCCGAGTCTCACCTTGCCTTGCCTAAGCTTAGTAAACTGTTCCTCCTCAAAATGTGCCTGTAGAGTCGTGTATTAGTTTATTTCCTGCCACATTTAACAGTTTTATTGCAACCTTGTGCAGTTGAGAGCAAAACATATAGAGCCTTGATAGAAAACATTGGAGAGTGCACATTAAACTCACTGCACACAGCTTTTTGTTATTGTGATCTCTGGTCATGGTGAGGTTGCTCCTGCTGACTTGAGCCAACCATTTTCTTCTCTCTGCGTTTTTGGGGAAGCCATAATTCTGATTCCTTCCTCAGACCGATTGCTATATGCAGCGCAGCCAACCATGGTAAGATAATGAACCTATAAAGGGATTATTAAAATACTATTTTTGTACATATAGAAATATTGAACTAAACCAAAAATATAGAGATGTAAAATTATATTTTAAACTTTTATCCAACCCTAAAATTTGTAATTTCAAATTTTAACCCAATAACACATTTTATTTTAATAAAAATCAAAATAAAGTTATTCAAAAAATTGTCATTTGGTCTTGAGTACATTGCTCATAATTAATGATTCAGCTTAGTTGCACATATGTAATGACTAAACATAATGTTGGTAAAATGCTTTATTAAAAATGCTATTATACATGTTGTACAAGTTTGTATTCATTTTTTCACAAATAACACTTTTTTATCTACTGTGTTTGACCATACAGTTTTATTGACATTTTCTTTTTAATTAGTTGCTATTAGTCAGGCTATAGAAGCCAGATAAACTGGTTTATAGATGCAAGGACTGTCTTCACAAAAAATATAAAGTAATGATTGTAAAATGTATTCTACTGAACATAATAGGTCATCATTCAAAGCATAAACAGCTACATATTTTCTTCAAGATAAGCTGGAGCAGAATTCTAGCTTTCAATAAACACTGTAAAATGGATATTACAACTCGAGTTTAGGGCTTCTTGTAGGACTTAAAGTTATTAAATGCTTATGTTAGAGCAGTGTGTTGCATTACTACATCACATTTACTGCTATAATATATTATAGTAATGTATGTGGTCTAAATGTGTTCTACAGTGTGTTAGGACTGTCGTATTCCTGTAATGTAGAACAGTCACGGGTGTTTGTCTTCCTACAAATGCTCGGAAAATAAATAAATAGGCTACTTTGAGAAGGAATTAGGACATAATATATAATATAATATATAATATTATTCAATAATTACCAAAAATCGCCAAGGGGAAATGTGATTATATTCAATTTTTGTGATTTGTCCCACCATACGCTGTTCAAACTGACTTACGACGTTGGGACGTTTGGAACTATTGAGAGCTCCATGAACCACGTGACCGCGAGTCGGCGAGTTCAAAGCGTGTCGCAACTCTGTCTTTCTACAGCTCTGAGCCAAACCATATATTTACATTTATAGGATGGCTTGCACTTAGCCCAACACCTTTCAGACCATAGTTTTAAGCATCTTATATTAATGATGGATTTATCACTAGATCTATTATTGCTGTCACATGAAGTTACAGCATGTGTGTGTTGGCTGATGTTAATCAGCTGTAGCGGCTTACTTGAGAGCAGCTCCAAATGTTTATGAGTCATAGACATCCATCTAATAACTACTTTCTCTGAGTTTTATTAAAATCTGTCTAGTGCTCCAACAGATATTTCACTAAAAATACAGATAAATGAAAACACACACACACAGGCAAAAACATTAAACGTAAGGAAGTCAAACTTAAAAGCCAAAGAAAATGTGACAACGATAAAATATAGCCTGGGCTGATAACATAAAACTGTTACTTGTGAGAAGAGGAGATATTTGAGATTTTACTACTTTCTATTGAAACTTCTAAATATTTAACAGGTGAAACAGAAATTCCCTGAATTGTAGCGTCTCAATGAAATATAGATGGTTTGAGATTTTTGGTGTATTTAAAAGCCAAGTTATTGATAAAAAGTGTCTTTGACAGGCCAGATGAATGGAATATGGAAATAAACACTTCAGCGAAGGCTGCTTTTGTTCTGAAAAAGATCGATTGTTTGGACTTTGAAACGTATCAGTGACTCACGTGGAGAGCTGAGATTATTGGCTTTCCAAGTAATCGATGTTTGTGCTGAAGATCCAACTCAAAGCAAATAAATTTTTCTATTAGATCTTCAGAAATAATTAGTCCAAAACCAGAACGGATCAAACTGAAAACATTTTCTTAACGAATAGTCTAAAGTCTCTCCACCGTCCCTACCGTGTTTCTGCCAAGCTCATCCATCTGTGAGAGCGTACACCTCTCCATCAGAAGGCGTATGGTGAACGTTAACACGATCCCGTGCACCTGCGCACCGCTCCGGTTTCTGCCTTTCTATCACAGAGTGACAGCACGTGTCTGATGCAAAGCTAAGTCAATCCATCATGTCCCATCGCCGTGACGACCTGATACTGCAGCCAGATCAAGGGAGGCTTTTCTTTTACAACTTTCTGTGCACAAAAGTTTTATTTTGTTGGTATTTGGTTCAAATGATGCATTTGAAAATAAAGTCTCAGATTTAATCGCAGGATCCTTGTTATGTATTCAGGGATGATTATTTACAAAAAATATCAGTTTCAGATCAAAACTGGGTCTGTGCTACAATTAACACACACTGGCACTATTTCTACTGGATGAAAAAAGGAGACGTGAATGAGCGTTAAAAACATTTTAGGATTCATGGGTCGTTTCTTTGGCTGCACAAGACCAGAGGAATTTTATTGCATTAGGAATTAATACATTTTCTGGGCTTTTTCCTCTTACTGGGAAGATAAGTTCACACTTTTCTCCAAGACGTGCTGTTCTCACGGGATAAAGACACGCTCGCGTTACTTTACCACGACTCATCCAAAGGTTCAAATGAAGGCAACTGGACTTCTTTGGTTTCTTGAAGATATTTCGCTTCTCATCCAAGGAGCTTTGTCATTTCTTACTGGAATATGGGAGAGTCAAGTCAATAAACTGTAGCTGTCTGCTGATGCTTAACGAGCAGAAACTACCTATGACTGCCTCCCCCTCGAGGAGTAGTTTATGTCCTTATGTCCTTATGTGTTGAAATCAGAAAAACCATTCCAACACAATAGGACCAATGACTTATTGGGGGGTAGGGAGGATGGGGTATTCATATGTAGTTTCAGCTCGTTAATGTGACGGTGTGTATTTTCCCTGGAGATAGGGGGCAGTAGATACCTAAATCATTGCGAGCAAGCATTAATTTTGTGTTCAAGTAAGACCTTACCACTGGAGGCCATTAGGGTCCTTGGGAGTGCAACCTCCAGCAAAATAACAAGAACATCAGATTCCTTTTCATCAAATGCAATGAGTGAAGAGGTAAATGTGTAAAAGAACAACGTTTATTCATCTGAAAGTTTTGTAACCATTTGTTACAAATCAGTAAATGCATTCTGTCCTCACGGGCTTCCGTAGAAGGAAACATGGCATCCAATATGGCGTCGCTTAGAGACTTTGGCCCACTCCCATGTATTTTAGACCTGATATTTATGGATATATGTTATGAAACCGCCAGTATTTTTCAACAACTGGATATCTTTTATTTCATTTACAACAACGTTTCAATGGATATTCCCAGAGATTAACGGTAAAAACTACACATTGTCACTTTAAGCAACAACAGACAGCTACGGTTTATAAGCACGACTTTCCTATTTTGGATGACTGAGAACCTTCACCAGCATGTTACCATAACTTACTTTGTGTCACAAGTCACAAACAAGTTAAATATATTATAAACAAGAATGAAACTGCTCAGTTTTATCTGAACCCTGCAGCCAACTGCACCAGGACGCTCATGGAGAACATTCATTTCTGAGCGGCCGTGACCCCAAAGTTTCTATATGACACCTTATGAAACAACTGACCATATAACAAGAGCAATGACTCCAGGAAGCAGAACGAAGTGGACATCTTTCTCAGTTTACACCAGACATTAAGTCATAAACTCAGCCTGCAGAAAGCTACACACACACATCTCTCCTTGTTATTTACAGTTAGCGTAGCGCCAATCTGCAAACACCTCCCCGTCAGTAAGAACTGCACCAAAAAAATGCAGCGGTGCACTTTAACAGTGACACACTGAGTCAGATTTGACCATTAACCTCTGAGCACCAGGTTGTGTCCTTGCACAGCTCCAAGGCTAACCGCTAAAACGGCTAACAGCTGTTACCCTGCGGGGCCACATTTTTCACGAGGGCACAACTGCACCTCTACCGAATTTCTGCATCAGTTCACCACTGGGTAAAAAAAAAAAAAGTTGCTGTAGTTGGCAAGTAGGCCTAAAATAACTGACATTGGGGAAGGCCACGAGCTGTGACACAGCTGTTTTTAGAGGACAACTCAACTTGTACGTGAAGCTGAAGCCAACTAATTTCACTGTCGGGTAAGTTTCGGTCAAAGCCTGTTAGGATCTATACTGAATGACCAGCCAACTGCCTTAATGAGCAGTGTGAAAACGTTAGCTCTCTACCAACAGCTGATGCCATAAAAATAAGAAAACTGATTAAATCATCTGCTAGGAGGACAAAAAACAATAAAACTAGAAACATTTGTGTGGACTTGGGAGCGGAAATGTTTGGAAAAATCAGAAATCATGACACAAAAGTAATAAAGAAGCTGTGTGGATATAATCTGTGTGTGTTGTTTTGGGACTCTTCTGTGTTTTAATAAATGTGACAAAGTCCACAGCACTGCTTCATAAAGCTCCCTTTGTGAGGCTACAGTGACCCCTTGTGACTGAACACTACAAAGACTGGCAAACATTCCCAAATTATTTTGAAAAACTTAAGATTTAAGCTGAAACTTTTTTCTTTTTTAAGTTATATAACTAGAGTTTAAGAAATAAATTTAAATCTTTTGTAAAGCTGCTGTCAATCGCTGAATCTTCCCATTTTTACCAGGCCTTATTATATTCTAATATAAATAAAAACTAAATAAAAAACATCTAAATGCTTTTGTTCATCATAATCTGAACAGAAATGTGATTTTTAATCTGGTGTTTTGTAAACTTTCAGGTAAAAACGTGAGAAAAAGAAAGCAGTGTTGCTATTCTGAGTGAGGGAAGGGTGAACAGCAGGAGGTCTGACCTATGAGGAGGCTGAGAGGAGGTGAGCAGGATGGGAAGGCTGTGAGGAGCTCCAGAACGCTGAGGCTTGGATCTCGTACGTACAGGTTGTAGTCTGCAGCGCCTTGTTTACTGCAGAGCTCCTGCAGTCTCCTCCTGTGAGCGCCGTCTGCGGTGTGTTCCACCAGCGCTCGAAGCAAAGCCTGCACAGACATGAGAACATCTGGTGAAACCTCTGGAAGGTGTTCTCGACTTCCATCAGAGCAGCAGATGAAGACAAACTTAAAAAAAAAACACAAGTTTTTCTTTTCTTTTTTAAATAAAAGGCTTTTCACTCAACAAAACCTACAGAAGAAGACCTTGACTAACGCCTGGTTATACAATCCCTCTGTTTTATTATGCCCAACGCAGCTTCTGCTACCATAAAAACTGCCATTAAGTACAAAAATACGTGTCAGGATGAGAGGAGAGACAGAAACGCTTTAATTTATCGCCACCCATTAATGAAACAACAAAATCTGTTAAGTTTAGCATTGAATAAATGACTGCTTGTGTTCATAATCAGACAATTATTGAGATGATGGATAAAATATTCCTCTTTAGTTACTTAAAAATCATTTGACTCAGATGGTGCGTGAGCGTGTTCTGTAGAAACTAGAGACAACCTTCTACCAGAAGAACGATCCGAGATCAGCTACATCACCGGCATTTCAATCAAATCTTGAACTTTAACAAAAACAATCTGAACTTTAAAAACTAAAGCATGTGTAGTATTTTAATTCTCCACCGGGTGGCACAAGACATGAGATGAAATAGGTTTTTGAGGAAAACGCTAATCCTGTTAGCAAGGTGGAGGATCACAGTGCAGGGAGAAAGTTGGTCAACACAAATCACAGGATTTAGTTTTTTTCTCACCTGCAAACAGAAGTTTAAATGTCACCAGTCTATTCTAGATTAGTCGTTACACGCATCTAGAGCTGAAACGAATCATCGGATGATTTGAATGGTTCGATTCATTTTTTTACCGATTCGAAGCTTTGTTAAATGTGCGCTCCGCAGTCTGAACACATTTTACCGGCGCACTACCCGGCGATCTAGGCGCTGTGGAGGAAAATAGAGAAACCCGCAAAAGACAGAAATCACTGTAAAAGGCAGAAACGGTCCAAAGTTTGGGATCAAGAGTTAAACTAAGAGCAGAATTGCTAATGCTAAGCTAGCGGGTAGGATTCTCACGAGCAAGTGTGGTTAAAAAAAACGTGATGGTTGTGAACGACTAAACTCCACAAGCTGAAGGAAAATCCTCACCATCCCGTTTATTTGTGGATCTCTGTAGCAGCGTGGGGCAGAGCCGCTGCAGCTACCGTCTGGTTGTTGCTATCCGTCCGCCGCTGAACTGTGGCAAGCCGTTGTAGCATATAATTTACTAACACTTTTATATTTCAATACTATTTAGACTAGATTATGTTGCCAACCCGTACATAATAAAATAAGTATACCACAAGTACATTGTTACAAGTAGAAATTAAATGTTAGCATTTCTAGTAGCTTACCACTGAACATGTTAATGAAATACTTAAATACTACTCATTATATGTGAATATTTTGAGATATGTTATTTTGACTAGGATGAGGTCAATACAAAACTAAATTGTGACTGAACTGTAAGTTAAATATTGTTCCATAAAATCTATATTAGCTATAAATATCAGCTGGGAAAGAAGGAACTAGACAACACCAATTTAATATATATTATTGAGCTTTTTATCATTTTGCTTTTTATTTTCATATTTTTAGCAGCAGACCATGATCTCGTTTCACTTGAAACGTCATCAAATAGAATCCTCGATTAATCGATGGAAGATTGGATAGAATACTCGAATACTAAAGTATTTGATAGCTGCAGCCCTACACGCATCATCATAACGTTGTCCAAAACACCAGCTGGTGGTTTAGGGTCGACATTGTTCAGATGAGGACTTTAATCCAGTGTTTTAAACTGGAGACTGTGATGGCAACTACCAGCAGCGCTCTGGCCTGCTTTAAAGCCACGTACAGACTGATTTTCGGTCGTCGTGGAAAATCTTTCGTTGTGAAAGGAGTCGTGAAGAAAAATGGTGAACATGAGCGTCATTTGCAGACTTGTAGCTGTGCAGCTCGATCGGTCCACTGACAACTTACTGAGCACCCCCACAACTAAATCTAGCCTCCAATAATCTACAAGCAGTGTCAGAAAAACTATGAAACCATTCTGTAATCGACCAATGAAAATACACCCAGGGAGTGATGCAAGACGTGAGTGTAGCATCAGAACGACTCTGTTGTTCGTTCATGTTTCTATCAGTTAAGCGCTTATCTAATATTAAGTCGATCTTAACAAAACAGGAGTTGAAAACTGTAGCCAATGCTTTTACAATCTCTAGGCTAGAGTACTGCAACTCCCTCTACGCTGGCTTGAGCCAGTCCCTAATGACTCGGCTCCAGCTGGTCCAAAACGCTGTTGCCAGATTTCTGTGTGGAGCACGTAAGTGGGAGCATGTCACTCCCGTCCTGACAGCTTTGGACTGGCTACCGGTGAAGAGTTTAATCTTGTTCAAAATCCTGGTCCTTGTTTTTCAATCCCTGTCTGGATCAGCGCCACCATATTTAGCCCCCCTGCTGACCCGTTACGGCCCTGCAAGATCGCTAAGTTCAGGTCAGAGTGAACTTTTGGTGGCACCGCGATCAAAGCCTAAGTCTAGGGGTGATCGTGCCTTTGCAGTTCTGGGTCCTCAGCTTAGGAACAAACTCCCACAAGAACTGGTCTTCCAGGCTGTACTGTGAGACCTCTTCAAATGGTCCAGAACGCAGCAGCGCGTTTGGTCTTCAATCAGCCAAAAAGAGCACACGTCACCCCTCTTTTCACTGAGCTCCACTGGCTACCGCTAGCTGCACGCATCAAATTCAAATTGCTAACACTAGCATACAAAGTCCGAGATGGTACGGCTCCCATCTACCTGAATCCTCTTGCAGAGCCTTACGTCTCGGCCCGGCCGCTCCGGTCATCACAGGATCGTCGCCTAGCAGTGCCTACACCACGCTCAGGACAATCCAGACTCTTCTCATGCATCGTTCCACAAATGTGGAATGACCTACCAAGCACTACCAGAACAGGAGCTTCCTTTTCAGTTTTCAAGAAACTCCTGAAGATCCTGCTCTTCAAAGAGCATCTTCTAAACTAGCACCCTCCCTGCACCCGTCCCCATCTCTACCGTCCACTCCTTTGTTCCCTCCTCTCCATGATTGATGTCAAGTTGTTGTTGTTGTTGTTGTTAGCCTCAAGGGCAACATGCCGATTACCACTTGTAAGTCGCTTTGGACAAAAGCGTCTGTTAAATACATAAACATAAGAAATCAAACAGTCCACATCGCTGCCTACTTTTAAAGCAAGGCTTAAGCTGTATTTTAGATCTGTTTCTTAGTTGTTTCTATTCCCATTTCAATGTTTTTGATCACTACTCTTATATTGTTTGTAGCTCTTTTATTGCTTTTAAATGTTTTTATCTCTGAATTTTATTATAGAGCTGTTTTATTGTGCTGCTTCTTTGCACTACGTTCAGCATCTTGGGCCCTCTTGATTGGGGGTAGGAAGGGGCTTTACAAATAAAATGAACTTGAACATTAGCAATATTAGCAACAATGGAGACTACATGCAAGAACATGTGGACCACTCTTTTTCTGGAGTTCAGTTTGGAGTCTTCGATATCTGTCGGCTTTTAGTGGCGAATGCTTTTTGGCCACCTATGCTCGTGACGCTGGCGTGTCTTTTATGCAGTTTGGCTGAATTGCTACAGTTGAAAGACTCACATTGTGAACTTGGCTTAACCATGACTGGTGAAATAAAAAATAAAAGTAAATAACACGTAAGCTGCAGGAAGACGAAAACAATCGATCTCTCTCTGTTCATGGTTGAATGTGTAATTCATAACAAACTGCTGATGCTGCACTAAACACAACATTTTCAATGATTTTACCAAATAGTAAATAATAAAAACAATGAATTTGTTGTGTTAAAACTATACGTCAGTTTAAAAGGCAAGCTCAGACATTAAAAACATACGGCTGGACTGCCACCATTCTGACATTTTCGCACATCAAACATGACTAACACTGCCAGAGGGAAGCAGGAAAGTTTAATGACTATCTCAGCCTAAGCCCCAGACTTCCTCCACTTATCAAACCAAACCTTCAACCTCCGGCAAACCTTCCAGGATGTTAATACAGAATGTTGAAGCTCTGGCGGGCTTGTTCAGTAAGAAAATCAATGTTGAAACAGCTACCTTTAATTACTCCTCCACACGAATAATAACACAGCTTCCTCAAACTTTGACAAAGCAAATAAAAGCTGTGTGCTTCAGCTAGCGGGAACGGGGCATGTTTTATGCTAATAAAGGATTGTGTTGTCGCAGATCAGGTCTACGTTTGGACATGCTGTACCTTTTTAGGAACACTTCTGATCTCTAGGCACCACGTGAACAGGAACAGCAGAGAAACATTCTGGGGGACGTGGGGTGGCAGCTGGGCACCTTTAAAGAAGGAGAAGAAAGAAATTTGTGTAGGCTGGCTTTTATTTCCTTAAGACTGTGTGATGTTTTTCAAAATAAAACATTTTTTTCCATTCGCCACAGATAAGTCTTGCCTTTTTTCTTCGTCTCCTGTTGCAGAGTAACATGAACACGATGGGTTTTTTGGTCCTGAAGGTTCAGCCTGCAGAGCATTTTGTCCACCTCTTCCTCTGTGTTGGGGCAGAACACGTCAAACGAATCTCCAGGCTGATAAATCATTGTAGGATAAGCCTGGAGGAAGATAAAAATAAACAAAAACATCAACATTTGATTTAAACGTTGGCTTTTTGTTTGTTTATTTTTGTGACGCTCACAGAGATGTCCAGCTCCAGCAGCAGAGCCGTCTTGACTGAATCGTCTCTGCTCAGCTGAACTGCTTTGGATATAGGCACCTCATGAAGAGTCTCCTTGTTCAACGGTCCAGCCATCTGAAAGGAAACCTTTATGAGCAGAGGAGTAAAGTAAGGCAGAAATGTGGCTTTTTAAAAACTCCAACGTTCATCACCTGTTCCATAGTGTCCACCTTCTGAAATGTAACATCCAAGTAGGGGGGAGGCAGAGCAGGAACATTAAGCGAGGACGTAGACAGCGGCGGTAGGGAGCATGTCAGCGATGGAGCCAATTTTACGCTAGGAACCGTGTCATTACAGGTGGTTGGTGTGGAGATACTGGAGGACAAAGATGGAAGCCCAGAGCTACCTGCAGAAGCAGCTGGCTTGAGATCAGTAACGGCGGGAGAAGATGCATGTTTAGAGTCCGTGCTCAGAGAGGAACCGACTGGCTCACAGCGCTTCTCATCAGCAATGCTTAAAATGTTGAGCTGGATGTCTGGAATCTCTTTTGCGGAATCATCGTTCTCTTTCAAGAGAGCAGTCCTACCAGAAGCCATTTTTGATAAAGCCTCTTTGATGGCATCCCACAGTCCTCTGATCCAAGGGTCAATAACCACCTCCAACCTGGATGAAACAAAGTCAGCGAGAAGACTCTATGAGAGACGTGGAAACCAGAGCCAGCGTTAGATTGCTACATTTCATCTCCCTGTAGGACCTACCCTACACCATCATCCGCATATCCTGTCGGATAAAACTGCTTGGCTCCAAGTTCCTGCAGCCGACGCTCAATTGTCTTCCCGCAGTTGCAGAAATTTGCATAATTGGTGTCTCCTAATGCTGAGGCAGAGAGGAAAAACAGATTATTCACCAGCAAACGTTCAGAAAGTTCAGCAGCGTGCAGAAGAGTGTTGTAATAATTTACTAAAACCTCTTTTGCAAATGTTAGCCCCTATTTGTACACCACAAAAAATGACCTTTGACCTGCTTTTGAGATTTACCTAAAAGTGCAAAGCAAAGGTGTTTATAGTGGTCAGAGGAAAGAGTGTTCTTCTTGATCCGCCTTACAAATTTGAGGGCATTGTCTGGTGGTTCTCCGTCTCCAGTGGTGGATGTAACAAAGATCACTGGGGCATGCTCCGTCTCCAAATTGTACTGGAATCAGTTACATGATTAGTTACTTGGGTTTCTGTAATCCAAGTGAAAATGCATTCAGTTAAAACCCGCTACCTCAGGGACCTCATGTTGAAAGATCTCTGTGGATTTCTTACAAGACGATGACTTAGGCTTGAATAAACTGTATGCAAAAGTTAATCCAGATGTATGTACGGATTTACGCACAATTCCTTCATATGATCCATCAAAGGTGATATTGAGCATAAGTGAACACTGGACACATAATATGCATGCTTTATTATCCAACAATGTAATTGCAACACGTGAAGTTATTATTTATTTGTTGTGCATCTGGTGTTAACAATATTTATTTTCACTGTTTCCCTGCAAGCCCACTATTGAGTGTCACCAAACACGCAGGTAAAGGTAGAAAAGCACATAAGCCAGCCGTGAAATAGGTGTGGGAAAAGGGTGCATGCTACGATGATTTAGTGTTAATACATGAGTAGTCTGACCTGCTAGACTCGTCCTAATACACGAGGCCCCTGGCAAATTCATGCGGCTACTGAGTCTGTTTCACGTAAATTTATTAACATCTACCTTCTCATTTTGGTCCAAGCAGCTGAGATCAGCAGTCAGACCGTGCTCCTCAGCCTCCTCGGCTATCCCCTCAGCTATAGCCTGAGCTTGGCCCTTCTGGGACCCAAACAGCACCACAAATCGATGCTTCACCTCACAAGGCATGCTGGGGGGAAACAGATAAATATTTAGGCAATTCTAAAACGCCACAGGTAAAATAGTGAGACTAACTAATCAATTCTCAGCTGCATTTTAACAAACATCTCAGCTTACCAACATACTTGGACAAATAAAAGGCAGGCTGCCACAGAAACACGTTTAACACACCGCTACGCCACCATTACCGTCAGTACCCGGATGTTGCGTCAAACTTTGACTAGTTACCAAAACAGCGCACGTGGACGTTTTTCACTCAAGAACACTTTATGAACATAACATTTCATATTTGGTCCGTAAACTAATTCGGAATTCCGAGAAACTCGACTCACTTTCTTTAGAGAATCGTGTTTTCTGGCATTAGTCCGTAATAAATACACAGGAAATACAAGCAGTTTAAAGTTAATAAAGTATTTCTACCTTTTTAAATTGTATGAAAATTCACCTCGTCAACTCCTTGCCAACATACCGGTAATTAGTCTTGTTACTGAATTCACGCGAGATCTGAGCTCAAACTGAGATTGCGCGTGATCGGAACAAACCAAGTTACGACAAAGACGTTCCCCTTGTTTAAAATTTGTTGTCAGTTGCAATGATATTAATTTGTATGATTGTGACTAATTTATGATATAGTTGTTCAAGCCTTTTGTCGCTTATAAAAAAGGTGACAGGAATGGAAGAAAACACGCTGAACTGAATTTGGTTCCGCCCTCCCCACCCGTGGAGCCTTCCAGAAGTCCCCGGCAGATCCGTGCGGCTTGCAGTTCAGCCACACTCCAGGATCACATCATTAAACGCGTTATTCTGTCAGATAAACGCCGATTGTGTGTTCTAAACTCCAAATCAGCATGTCCACTTTGGGCACATTAGCCTTTGATGAATATGGAAGGCCCTTCATCATCATTAAAGACCAAGACAAGAAGACACGCTTATCGGGCATTGATGCACTGAAGGTACAATGAGCTAGCTAGCATACATGTAGCGTGATGGCCTAACAAGCAAACCTGCTATTAGATATTTAATTTGGTTACAACACGAATTTATACATACGGCTTTGTGTTGCATGAGTGAATTTGTCCAACAAATTCTGATGTTTGTGCAAAATAAGCTGAATTAGATTAGGAAATGAAATGAATTCGTTAGCTATGCTAAGAAGAGGCCCATGTGCTCCCTGTGCGTTCATCTAGTAGGAGGTGCTACATAGGGCTGTACCCTGCATGGTCATGTACATCACCCATACAGCCGACACGCTGTTTACATGCCTTTTGAGGGTGACTTTTAGAAGTAAAATGTGTTTTGATATGCACTTGTTTTGTTTTACAGTCTCACATAATGGCAGCCAAGGCAGTGGCATCAACGCTTAAGACATCTTTGGGTCCAAACGGTACGATCCAGTGCAGTGATGTCATTTCACTTGAATAACTGCTGAGATGTCGAGAGTCTGTGTGACCATTAGATTATTAATTTAATCTAGTTACAAACACAGCAGGTTTACCATGTCATGTCACCGTTTAGGTCTTGACAAGATGATGGTTGACAAGGATGGAGAAGTAACTGTCACTAATGATGGCGCCACCATTCTCAGCATGATGGATGTGGACCACCAGATTGCCAAGCTGATGGTGGAACTGTCCAAATCCCAAGATGATGAGATTGGTGATGGAACCACTGGAGTTGTTGGTGTGTAAACGTGTGCAGAAGGAACATTGTGTGAATGCTTTTTGTAGATGAACATGTGATATATGTTCTGTGTTAATTAATTTTATATAGAATTCTTGGTTAGTATTGATATTTTTATTTTAGTTAAATAGTTTTAATTCGGTAAAGTGCATAAAATTAGGTTTTGGCAGGTAAATTATGAGTTCCTAAAAGTGATTTGTGTGCTGCTACTATTGGGGCATTTTAGCATGCAAATGAATCAGAAAATGTCTAGATATCGGCCAAAAAGTGACAACACGTATCGGCAATGACTCATACTTGTTGGTATTGGGGAAAGAAAACCCCATAACGGTCTACCTCTACTACCTACTGCTCTTCTAATGCATTTCTGACTCTGTTTACCTATTTTCCTGCATCCTCAGTGCTGGCTGGATCGCTGCTTGAGCAGGCCGAGCAGCTGCTGGACCGAGGAATCCACCCCATCAGGATCTCCGATGGTTACGACCAAGCTGCACGCATAGCCATAGAGCAGCTGGACAAAATAGCAGAAACTTTCCCCTTCGATCCCAACAACACCGAACCACTCATTCAGACTGCCATGACAACGCTGGGGTCAAAAGTGTAAATTAAATTATTATTTTAGTAGTTGTTGATGCCATTTTCCTGTTCCCCTGTGACCTGGCTGCTTTTTAAGTGAGTTATTGAGATTTGACAAATCACCTTTTAATCCTATTGTTGTTATCTAGCATCAACCGGTGCCACAGACAGATGGCGGAAATTGCAGTGAATGCCATCCTCACTGTGGCCGACATGGAAAGGAAGGATGTAGACTTTGAGCTCATCAAGGTGGAGGGCAAGGTGGGAGGAAAGCTGGAGGACACACAGCTCATTAAGGGAGTCATAGTGGATAAGGAGTTCAGCCACCCTCAGATGCCTAAGGTATGATTTAAAATATAAATGTTTGTTGTAAATATTGCTGCATTTTTGTGATGCTTTAACGTGCCTGAGCTAACAAATTCTCTTTTCAATTAGCTTCTCAAAGATGTTAAAATCGCTATTCTAACCTGCCCGTTTGAGCCTCCTAAACCCAAGACCAAACACAAGTTGGATGTGACCTCCGTTGAGGACTACAAAGCCCTCCAGAATTATGAAAAAGAGAAGTTTGAGGAGATGATCCAGCAGGTTAGTAATTCTCACAAATCCCGATGCTACAAAAAGGACTTTTTGTGGTTCATGCAAATCAAGGAAGAATAAAAACACCTTCATTCTAGGTCAAAAGCACTGGTGCTAACTTGGCCATCTGCCAGTGGGGCTTTGATGATGAGGCCAACCATCTTCTGCTGCAAAGCGAGCTGCCTGCTGTGCGCTGGGTTGGAGGGCCTGAGATTGAGGTGAGGTAGAAGTCTTGCATGTGAAAGGTCAGAATGAGCTACCCTTGCTACGAGCTCACTCTTTGGTGTTTTGTTAGTTGATTGCTATAGCTACCGGAGGCCGTATTGTGCCGAGGTTCTGCGAGCTGACACCAGAGAAGCTCGGAACCGCTGGCTTGGTGAAGGAGATCTCCTTTGGCACAACCAAGGATCACATGCTCGTCATCCAGGAGTGCAAAAACACCAGGGCTGTAACCATTTTCATCCGAGGCGGCAACAAAATGGTACGCGCTCACAAGGCTGTATCGTTTTTGTCCTTTTTCATCACATTCATGTCTAATGGTCAAAACCTTTTCATTAGATCATTGAGGAAGCCAAGCGTGCTCTCCACGATGCTCTGTGTGTAATCCGCAATTTGGTGAAAGATAACCGTATTGTGTATGGGGGCGGAGCTTCAGAGATAGCCTGTGCCCTGGCTGTCAACCAGGCTGCAGATAAGGTGACAAATGAAAACCATTTTCTTTGATAAAGAACTGATCTGTTTATTGCTCGCTTATTAACTCTGCTCTATTTTCTTGTCAGTGCCCATCATTGGAGCAGTATGCCATGAGGTCATTTGCTGATGCCCTCGAGGTCATCCCAATGGCTCTGGCTGAAAACAGCGGGCTGAACCCCATCCAGACCATGACTGAGGTCAGAGCCCGGCACGTCAAAGAGAGCAACCCCTTCCTTGGAATTGACTGTTTGCATCACAACACCAATGGTAAGAAACTTGGAGATGGTTCAGTCTTAAATGTCAACCTCATTCCATCAGATCCTTAAGTTTCAACGCGGTGTCAAAGAAAGAACTGAAGTGGCTTTGTTGTTTTCTGTACAGACATGAAGCAGCAGCATGTGATCGAGACCCTGATCGGCAAGAAGCAGCAGATCCTGCTGGCCACTCAGGTGGTCAAAATGATCCTAAAGATAGATGACATCCGAAACCCGGGGGAGAGTGAGGACTAAAGACCCGCCTGAAGAAGGAAGACCCAAATCTGCTCTTTAATGTAAAAATCTGAGCTGCTCTAGAGGTCTTTAGCACCTCCTCAAGCCCAGTGCCGCACTGCTTACTGCTATTTATCGTTTGATACAGAAATGTCCCAAGCTGTGTTAGTTCTAAAGTCACCAATAAAAGGTTGGTCTGTTGAAACTTCAAAATCTCATTTAAATTGTGATGAACATGCTTTTTATTCCACATCATGTGTGTTGGGACTTAATTATTTCACAGTAATTATTACGTATGAATCAACATTTATCTGAACAAACATGCATCTACTTGGTTAAACATTCAATAATTAATGCCACGTACACCAAGCTGGATATACACGAAACGAAGATATTTTTTTACAGTTTGGCAAAATTCCACACAAATGCCACCAAAATTTTAATTTTTCTCAAAAACGCCAACCAAAATGGAAATTTGCTTGTAGATGTAAATAACCGGGGTTCTCACTTTCAGCACGACAAAAATATTTAGACGCCACATGTACGACCTGCACACACTCCATTTTAAAAAGCATTACTACTCAACGTAGATCACAGGTGAAGGACGACATTAAGGCTGTCTGCAATGTCTTTTGGCAAAGAAGTCGATGATTTGGGGAACTACTGCCATGCCTATGAATGTGCTTAATGAACTGGATTTTACTGAGTTTTGTCCCTAATTGGAGGATATCCGATTTTACAAAAACCCAGCTACATCTGAATGTGGCCTAAAACTCCCCATCAAGAAGAAAGTTCTATTAGTCTTTATAAAGTAAAACATTTGCAAAATCTGAGAAATTTATTCGTATAACCACGAACCACCCTCACCTACCAAATAGCACTTTTATACATTTCTAGTGTAACGTCACGAAATGGCCTGATTTTGAGATCCACAGGTCAAATGCACAGCCAGGTCAACTTACCCTGGCTATCAAACATCCCACGTATATTTTCCCCTGACAGGAGTCTGGGAGTCTACACGTAGGCCCTTTAATCAGAGCTACTTCCTCACACCAGCTGGACTGCAGAGATAATAAAGAAATAATAACTATTTTCTCCTCCAGGGTCTATCACAGAGAAATAAACTCCTTTATTCCCAGATGAAGAAGAAAAGATTTTATAATTAAAAGTAATCATTGAATGAACTTTTGTTATTGCTAATTATGAATAATGAAATGTTTCATTGATTTGTGTTTAATGACATGATTAGTATGTTTACTTGACGAGATTTGCACTCACAAGTAAAGTAAAGTAAATGCATGACACATAAATTTCCTTTTGCCTAGATTCAGAGTCTCTCCATCACAGGGTGTGTTCTGAGATGCTTGGTAATATCCTCTACTTGTCAACCTGTGGTCGGCTATTCAATGATAACATCAATATGTAAAACCAGTCCACTCTGGTTCCTCTCCAGTTCGAGAGCAAGCTTTAGACCGGCCATCTTTAGCAGACCTCTTTAACCAGAAGGATTTTGACACGTCAAAACCTTAAACCTTTGTTGAACCTGCGAAGCTGAGAACAAGATAGTTTTCCTGCAGAACAAAGCTGACTCAAAACTCCTTCAGAGTTATTTTTAAGACACTTGGTTTCATTCATCTATCGTTGTGACCCGGAGACATCTGAGGACTGATTTGGTCGCATCGAGGTTTCTCTACGAGCCAGGTGCAGTGGGGTCGTCGCCTCCTGGACATCCCGGATCCAAACGGGTGAGGTAGAGCACAGCGAGATAGCGTCTGCATGTAGTTTTGATAATAGCAACTTGTAGCTTAACGCTGACCAAATTCTTTTATATTCAGAACTCAGCTCGGACAACGGAGATTCCGAATACATTCTATTCACACATAGGTTCCAGACTATCCTTTAGTTCGCATCCACTCACAGTAAATAATAGTTTAAACAATTTGTCAAGTCTTAAAGTGTTTGTAAATAAATTCTTGCTTTGTTTATAAACCTGACTGTTTCTTGAATCAAAGCGAAGTGTGTATGATCCCTTAATAATTAAAATGATCCTAGGATCTTCTAATTAATCATCGTAAGACCAAGCAGGGGATAATCTATATTTATATAGAGTCATAGCTATTGGTCCCAAGTAGTGGTAATAATATAAATAGCTTTTCAAGCAATTTACTTAACCCAATTTACCCTCTATTATCACTACACTAGTTATTTCACAGACACGATTATTGATCCGAGACTGGATTAGCGGCTCAAAGCACACATCAGTTAGCCGTTCCTTTCCGCTCCGTGTTACATGTGCTTGTTGAGCCAACTGAGCATGTCTGTTCTGGCCTCCAGGATTTGCGGCTTGTCGGCAGGGTCGATGTCCTCCCTCTTCCGATGGACGAAGCCGTGAGTCTGTCCTGGAAATATTTTAAGCTGGAAGGCCACGGTGCATTTCTCCTTCAGATTTGCTTCCAGGGCACTAACCTAATTCACACATAGAAATATGAAGGTTATTACGTTTTCTTTAGGTACCAAACTTCGGCACGGTTTACAGACGTGTACTAACCTGATCTAGAGGGATTACTTGATCGTTTTCAGCAAAGATGAAAAGTGTTGGGCTCTTCAGCTCATACTTGTCCTCCCGTTCTCGTACCATTCCTGCACACAGAGAAATAAAACTAATAAACCACTCTAATAACTAATACTTATTATTGTTGTTGACTGGGATGAAATACCATAAACAGACACTCCGGCCTTGATTTCTGGATACAACAGAGCCAAGTAATGTGTGGCAACTCCTCCCCAGCAAAAACCCACTGTCCCAATGCGTTTGGACCCACACTGCTCCTTCAGGAACTTCAGCACTGCGTCAACCTCTCTGGGATGGACGTCAGATGTTTAAGCCAAAGGCAAACTTGCGTCAACACAAGAAACATCGTGTGAATTTGATTACTTGTTTATATTTGTTGGTTTTTTGTCTTCCAGCCACTCCTGGAACTCGGCCCAGTCTTTAGTTGGGCTCCATGCTTCCTTCCCAACAAAGAAGTCTGGGCAGACAGCTCTGCTCAGAGCACACGCAACAGCAGAACATTAATATAAATGGTAAAATCCACTTTATTGTTGTGTTTTTACAAGGAATTGAGCTCTACATACATGTATCCATTGGCAGCCAGCATGTCAGCCATGTATCTAGTGTTGGGAAGCTCCCAACCAAAGATGTCATGGATGACGATAACGGCCTTATCTGATGGAGCAGAGGGTTTTACCACGTATGCCTTGATGTGATCTATTTGGACCTCCTGGCCGAGCCCCCCATAGTCGGATCGATCACCAATATCGCACGGGCAAGGGTTGGCCTCGTTTGCCATCTAATAAGGAAAAATGGAAAAACTTCCTGAATCACATGATGCTATTGCCTAATCCCATAAATTATGAATGGGAACATCATTTCAATTAGGGATGGAAGAAAATCTCGATATGGCAATATATTGTGATATATCGTATCGTCTCCCCTGTATCGTGATACATGTCATATCGCAGAATTTCACCAACATCCCTAATGTCAATTGTTGCTACTGTGAAGATTTTGTCACCAAACCTTCTGTCAGGAATCTTGGCGTGACCTTTGACCCAGCTCTCACCCTGGATTCTCATGTCAGTTCTCTTGTTCGCTCTTCCTTCTTCCATCTCGGAACGTTGCTAAGCTGAGTCCCATTCTGTCCCACTCTGAACTTGAGACAGTTATCCACACCTTCATCTCCTCACGCTTAGACTACTGTAACTCTCTTTTCACGTGTCTGAGCAGAACCTCCCTGAACCGTCTACAGGTGGTTCAGAATGCCTGTGTTCGGCTTCTGACCAAGTCCTCCAAACACACACACATCACCCCGCTTCTCCTCCAGCTTCACTGGCTGCCAGTCAACTTCAGGGTTCATTTCAAGATCCTGGTTCTGGTCTATAGGGCCTTACATGGACAAGCACCATCTTACATTGGTGATCTTCTTAGTCCCTACACCCCCAACAGGTCCCTGAGGTCCAGTGATCAAAGCCTACTGGTTGTGCAGCGCACCAGGCTAAAGACCAAAGGTGACAGATCATTTGCTGCTGTGGCCCCCAGACTCTGGAACTCTCTCCCCCTGAGCCTGAGATCAGTGGACTCAGTGGTCTCCTTTAAAAAGCAGCTGAAAACTCACTTGTTCATGCTGGCTTTGGTGTAACCTTCTTCACCACTCTCTCTTTATTCTGCTCTCCCCACCTATTCCACCTTCCTCAGGAAGGATCCACTGATTTCCCTCTTTCCTATTCACTCTGTCTTTCTTAAAAAAATTTTAATCACAATTGTCTATTTTTGCTCATTTTAAATATAGTTTTAAACATTTTCTAAATGCTTTTTTATATTTTTACATTTTTTGTTTTTGTGAAGCGCCTCGTGATTTTTATCTTGAGAGGCGCTATAGAAAATATACTTTCTTCTTCTTCTTCATTTATCTGTGGCATCTTAACTCAATCATACACTTGGATAAATGTGTCCTTTATGTTTCTAAATAGCTACTTTTTGGTTTATTTTAAGAATGATAACTCTACCAGTTTATCTGCTGTATTGGGGGGAAGTTAATGACGTCTTGTGCAACTGAATGACAAAGCATTTTGCAAAAGTAACACTGACCCTTTTTTTATAGCATCAGTTCATAGACATTCCTAATGGGGTCCAATAGGTGTTTTTAAAGGTGCAGTATGTAAGAATATAGTGAATGTTTTAACAGTGAGAAAATCCCTAAAAGAGTCTAATGTTTCAGTCATTTTGGAAGGAAGTTTTTACTGAAACATATTTCATATCCCGCTGGCTACAGGGATTTCAGTTTTTCTCCTTTCAAAACAAAAGGAAGGAGGGACATAACTACTGTTTATCACCAGTGAGTGTGGGGTTGCCATGTCTCCTGCGAGCTAATGTTGCAGGGCCGACAATTGTAATTTGACGCCAAAAAGCTCCAGCGTTGTTTAACGTGGTTGAAGTAACCAAAATTGTTCACAGGATGTCATTTTTACTTCGTTTCTATATAATGCACCCGTAACATGTTTTGAGGAGTGAGCACCACCTGACCCCGGCCACGTCGACCCCAAGGGATAAACCATTAACCACCCCTGTCCTGGAGGGGTCACTGGAATGGACAGCAAGAGAGTTAAATCAGTTGATGTATTTTTTTCTCAACAAGGAAGACAATTTAATGTTTATTTTCTATTGAGTTTTTCATCCACTTAAAGGGATGCAATTAGAGAGTTGTGCCCCAGTAGACTTGTATGATTGGAAACGCCCCTGATCGTCATCACAAACATATAGGGGTAATGCACATTTAAACCAGTAAAAAGTGGTAAAAGCATGACACATTTGCTGCTATTTGTTTTCCCTTTTCCCTCTAAAACGTTGCCCTAGGCTGAAGAACAGGATATATCTGGGGAAAGTCCCATTTAATCAGTGGGGTGAAGTGAGTGAGTTACATAATAGAATGACTCAGCATTTTTGCAAAAGTAGCTCCAAAACTTTGGCAGAACATGTTTCTGCAACAAAAATCTAAAAAAACAAACAAACAAACCAAACAGTAGAGAATAATAGCCTTTATGCTTCAGAATGCAGATAAGATTAAAGCATACATCACATACAGACCGTGTGTTTCTTCACTGGGACTCTGCGAAAGTCAGGAGGAAGGCTGGAACACTCTGGAGCAGACCAGCAGAACAAATGGAAAGACAAACTAAATAGTGGATCACGTGACTGACGACAAGCTCTGTAACGTTTCAGCGGAGACTTTCAAAATAAAAGCATCTTCGCAAAATCAAATTAAACTTTATCAAATGTTTATCTGCAAAAAAATAAAAATAAAAAAACTGAAACTGCTTAATTATTCCATCCAAAAATCATTCATCTTAGAATAAAATCTTTAAAAAAAACGCTCAATAGAATGGAATAGACTTTATTTATTAATCTTACACTAGGGAAATTCACTTGCTGCAGCAGCACACACACTTGAAGAAAAGGAAGAAGAGAATAACAAGATTACAGTTAAATACACAACAGCAGTAAGCTATTATTAACCTAGCCTAGCAAGCCAGACTAAATAAATATAAGAATTTAGTCTAGTTCACTAGGCTAGCCTCAACCACCAAAAACAAAAAAAAAAAAGGGAGACTTGCATTTCACAAACTATGCAGCATAAGGGACACATACATATTAATGTACATCCAGTATTGGACACATACAGAGTATTGCATTGATGTTATTGTGTAACAGGATAATGCCAGTGTTGGTTAATCATAGACCAATTTCAAAACTCCCCTTTCTCTTTCAGCTTTTGGAGAAGGTTGTTTATTTACAACTGGTGTACTTCTTCAATTCCCACAACATTTTGGAGACATTCCAGTCAGGTTTTACAACAGGACATGGCACAGAGACAGCTCTTTTTAATGGTTCTTAATCATATCTTTTTAGCTGGTGATAACAGTGATGCTGTTGTCCTTTTGTTAGTGGATTGGACTGCTGCATTTGATACGGTGGACCATGACATCATCCTGCATCGTTTACAGATTTGGGTGGGAGTTACAGGCTCTCCAATGGCTGAGATCCTATCTTGAAGACAGGAGTTCTTTGTGTGGATGGGTGAAGCTTCTTCAGCTTAGGAAAGATTCAGATGGAGGGGTCCCTCAGGGCTTAGTGTTTGATCACCTTCTGTTTACACTCTACCTCTTGCCCCTAGGAGTCCTCCAGCAGCAACATGGTGTTAACTTCCATTTCTATGCAGATGACTGTCAGATTTACTTGCTCCTCTCTCGGGTGCAGGAGGCTCTGTGTCTGCATCGATGGACTGTTTAAGGGAAGTTAAGGCGTGGATGGCATCTAACTTCCTCTTTTTAAATGAGTCAAAATCTGAGGTCATAGCACTCAGCCCCAGTGAAAGAGCTGGAGCAGGAGTTGATGGATCTTGCTTCCTTGGCATGGTATGAAACAAATGTGGTCACTAATTTAGGGGTGAAAATCGATGCAGCCCTTAAATTTGATGCGCAAATAAACATGGTTGTTCAGTTATGCTTAATTTGAGATGCCTCTCTAAGATAAAGCCTCTCTAGTCCATATGGAAACAGTGGTACGCGCTTTTATCATGTCCTGCCTTGACTGTAATGCATTGTATGTTGGACTGAGTCAGACTGCAACTGCTCAGCTCCAACTTGTTCAAAACTCTGTTGCAAGATTTCTTACTGAGATTAGAGGGAGGAAATCACATTTCTCCAGTGGTAGATTCCCTGCACTGGCTCCCGGTGTACTATCGGGCAAGATTCAAGATCCTCTATGTATTCAGGGCACTGCTCCACCATATCTAGCTGCACTGTTGCACATGTCCTCTCTAGGGCCCTTCGCTCGAAAAAAACTGTTTTTTTTTCTTGTTAGCATTCCCCCAACATCACTTTCATATTTTGCCAGTCTATTATAATTATTGTTTGTATCTGTGTTTTTCTATTTATTGCTTTTATGCTATTTTTATCTCTTTTTTACTAATGTGATGTCTTTCTTTGTTTTTATGTACTGTGCAGTACCTTGGGTCTCCATTAAGCTGGTAAAAGGGACTATGATTGATTGATTGATCGTTGCTGAACTATGACACTTTAATGTTAATCAGAAACAACTTCCGCTCTGCAGAAAGCAGTATGTAGAGTTTATTTATAGAGCACTTATCACAAAAGAAAATCACAAAGTGCTTCACACAGATCAAGAAAACAAATCATAAAGTCATAAAATCACAAGGTGGGGAGTGGATGGTGCTGAAAAACTTGTCCTGATATTTCTGATTTTATGAGTTCTCAAAGAATGCAAGAAAGTTGTCAGACCTTGAGAATACAGGCATGTGAGGTGAAACAATCTGGTTTATTGTGTCAAACAAAACTTTAGTTATTTTTGTTTGATGAAAGCAGCCGAGCCTGGAGTTTTTCACCATCTCATTCAAATATGTTATAAACTACTCAAAATGCAACCTAAAATGAACCTAATTGATTTCCAACACCTTTCAGCTTGGCAGAATGTCCTCCAAAAGCTGTAAATATTTTCAAACAACTGTTTTCACTTTACAAATGTACAATAATAAAAGTAAAATTTCTTTGGCCAGTAACTCCACCCACTGCACTAGGTACAAAAGGCACCGCTGGGATTCGAACCCAGGATCTCCTGTTTACTAGACAGGCGCTTTAACCAACTAAGCCACGGCGCCGCTGAAACATCGCCCCGAATAATACAAGAAATCAATGAATCAAATATCAAATGTGTTTATGATGAAAGTATTTTATACATGACATCACACTGTAACGGTTCTCAAACAGACGATTAAACAAACATAGTACAGTACATAGCACAATACTAGTACAGGAAATTTTATCACAAAAAACAAATGATTGCCGGTTGTCTGTTGCATTAAAGTTACTCTGCCCTCCGTAGTTTTAAACCTTTGGTTGAAAGAATTATTATCTCGAAATATCTGACGAAAATATACTTAACACGAAGTCTGGAAAATATTTGATAGTAAATTTCATTCGCCTTTCTGAAATCACGTGATTGTTCCAGTGGAAGTTTTCCTGCCGTAAAGTCGATCCGCTGTGGTAAAGCCAAACCGTCATAAGAGCTGACAGTAACATTTGCGCATGCGTCACTTGGTTAGCTTCTTTCCATTTATCGCTATGGTTTAAGCTCTCCTTTTAGCAGCACAATCCTTTGAAGTACTCAAATACATTTAAAATACATCATCAAGCAGAAGTCATTTGAATATTGGCGAAGAAGAGCTGCGTGTGAAAGTACACAACGAAGTTGGCGTGTTTAATCTGTCGGGAGACCGTTTTATAATGCATAAGGATACACCGTCGTGTCGCTAGCTTAGCATAGCTAGCCAGACGATTTAACCTGTGTCGCGGATGGGTTCACCGCACAAGTTTCTCTTGAAAAACAAACTAGCGGGTCTTTAGCCAGCACCATGGACACAGCCGAGGAAGGTAAGCCTTTTGTTGTCTTTAGCGTCGGTGATATATACATATATATATGTCGCTAAGACCTAAACGTCAGCAACGCCAGCCATCGTAGTGAGATAACAGGAAAACACGAATCGACGTTGAAACGTTTGGTCTTCTTTGTACACATTTAAACCAAACAGCAGTGAAGCTGAGTGCGTGGAAACGACCAGAAGTTACGGGTGAAGTCGTCACTGATCTGTTATTTTTCCTGTTGTTTTATGTTGTAAAGTAACCACACACCCTGTCTCTGTAACTGTATCAAAGTGCACCTCCAGGCCCTTCACACGCGTTTTTCCACACGATCTGAGCTAATAATTCAAATGATTTACATTTAGAAATAAGACTTTAGTTATGGCACCATGACTGTTTTAGTAACGGGTTGGTAACGGATTTTTATTAGTAAAAAGGTAACTCAAACCCATTGGAATTATCTAAATACTAGATTTGTTGGACGTTCATTAATGTAAAAAATATCACAGGGTGACAAATTGAATGATTTTTATCAGAAGATCTAGATGTTGAATGACTCCTATTTTAAAGGTTAATTTCTATGGTCTGTTTTGATCAGTCACGTGTGTTGCTTGTTTGTTTGTGTGATCAGCTGATATTTGCCGCGTGTGTCGCTCAGAGGGCACCCCAGACAAACCCCTGTACCACCCGTGTGTCTGCACTGGCAGTATCAAGTTTATCCACCAGGAGTGGTGAGTTTCTGCTCCCTTACTGGTTAAAGTGTTTCAGTTTCTAGCACTGTTGTAAAACACAACTCTTTCTCTCACGTGTAAATATTTGATGTGCGTAAGAAGACTGACCTTTAGATGAGTAACAAGCTGCAGTCTGTAGAGTAGAGATGTTTGAATCCTGTTCTTTCTCTGAGATCATAAACCCTTATTTTACGTGAGTGGGACATCTTTTCCCTTGACGATTATGTTCCAACAGGAATATGGAAAACAGAAATATCTGACACATCCTGTTTTTAAAACACTTCTTTCTTTAAATATGTCCTCACAGTTTGGTCCAGTGGCTGAAGCACAGCAGGAAGGAGTACTGTGAATTATGCAAGCACCGATTTGCTTTCACACCAAGTAAGTCCATCACCTAAAATGTTATTCAGCCTCATTTTTCCCAGTTTGTCAGTAAGTAAGGATCCAAATCTACCTTGTGTGTGCCCGCTTCAGTTTACTCCCCAGATATGCCCTCACGTCTGCCCATTCAGGACATCTGTGCTGGCCTGCTGACCAGTGTGGGCACAGCGATCCGCTACTGGTTTCACTACACGCTGGTTGCCTTCGCATGGCTCGGGGTGGTTCCCCTCACTGCATGTGAGTATAAGAAAAGATGCATGCTCCATAAGAGGGGACAAGGTGGAAAATGACTGGAACCACTGGTGGAGCTAAAGCCAGGATCACATTGAACCTTGAAACAGCTAAAGCTCAGTAAACAGGAGAGGAAATTAAAATAATCACAGATGTAACAGGTTTTGGTCCAACTGTGTGTGGTTTGTCACCACGTGACAAAAACCGATGCGCAAACCAATTTCACTCAAGGACATTCCCAGATTAGATGGGAACTCTCGCAAAACCTCTTGATCAAATAGGACTTTGCAGTAAACTGACATGACCTTGCTTTCTGATTGGCTTACCTGCCACATTTAAAAGGTAACACACCTTGGAAAAGGAGACCTAGAAAATTCAACATGTTGAATGTTCTCGTTTTATGATCAGAGCAGTCATGACATCCTTCCAAGCAGCCTAGAGCACTGTGATCAGACCACACACAGCAGGATTATCTGATAAGATTATTTTAAGAGACACTATGGTAGTCGCGATCTTTCTTAAGATTGTCGGGAGGGGAGGATTAGGTCAACAATTTGCACGATTACCTTGCCGTGTGAACCGGTCTAAGAGGCTTCTCTACTCTTGTTAGTCAACGCTTCGATCTCGTGTTGCTTGAATTTTAAACATGTTCAGAAATTTGTGCGACATATTTAATTTTCAAAATGGTCTAACCTAGGGCTGCACGATATTAGTAAAACCTGCGATATTCGATAACAGTGCTTAATATTGCGATATCGATATTACTCGCGATAAATGAACAAATACTAAAGTATGCAGTGTTGATGTTGTCTGGCGTGTGACGTCTGCTCTGGGTTCAAAGCAAACAAAAACTAATGCATGAATTCCATTACAACATAACATTTTTATTGAAAAAATATGCAGCTGCACCTGCTTCTGTATTAGCAGCAAAACAACAAACTGCATACATGCAGTTTCTCAGTGACTTAAAACATCACCACCACCACCATAAAACTTTTTCTTTTGCTCCAAATACAGAAAAACATCCCTTACCAGGGTTTTTGAATAAATAAAAAACATCTGAAAGTAAGTTTAAATGTTAAATAATAGTTAACATCAAAGAGCAAATTCTCTCATTGCTACTGAACATTTTCTCCACTTATGTGGTTATGATATAAGGCTGTTGCTGCTATTGGGAAGTGATCTGTGCTGGGCCAAACTAGGAGAATATTAAGATTTTTTGAGGGAAAGAGAAAAACAATTGTCTACCTTTCAGAAGAGGAACTGGCAAAAAAAACTACATGGAAAATATGTGAAAACGTTTGTTTTTAACCCCAAATTGAACAAGTTTACCTAGATCTTAAAAAGCAGCTCAGATGATGAAACTGCAACTATGATTCTGATAACAAGCTAAAAAATTGAACTAAGATAACTGCTAGCAGAGCTTCTGACTGACAGTTTATGAGCAGCAGCAAATCAACTATCCTGACTAACAAGGTTATAAAAGCTCATAAATGAAAAATCAGTTTGATGTGTGGGGGAACTTTTCCAGGCCCTCTTTAGCAGGGTGGGACTGGGATGAGAGTGCTGTAGCCTTTTAGCTGGAAGCTAACCGGAGCCTGGGGCTAACACTAGCGACATGGCGGTGGGTTGGTTCACCGGCACGTGTCGGAGTCAGCCCGATAAAAATGATTAACGACACCGAACGGAGTCACGTTCACGTTTGAAAGCAGCGCTGATTCCAGAAACCTCAGCACAAAGTGCGTCCGTTGCTCTGAGCCAGCATGACGAACAAGGGAACAGCGCTGCAAACTCTGTTCGGGTGTTGCTTTCCAAAAGGGTTTATGTAGGGGGTGGGCGTATTACGTGAATGGGACCATCTGATTGGCCGCATATCAGAAGGACTACATTTGATTGGTCAAATAATGCTTCGGCGTAAAAAACAGAGCTGGTTTACAAAAAGCTGATGTATGACACGGATGGAAATGTTTGAACCAAACATTTATCGCTGTTTTTGACGTGCTTTGCGATGGGCCTATCGCACGTCCTGTTATCGCGATGACGATAATTTTTCGATTTATTGTGCAGCCCTAGTCTAACCCTTCTCAGTTTAGTTTGGAGTAGGAATGTAGGAAAATCGATACACTGAAATGTCGCAATATTATGTGTAAAATTACAAGCAGTGTATCGATTATTTATTGGGAATTTACATACAAACATTTACTGTATTTCTGTTGTGTGGTGCAGTTCATACCGACTGCTAGGTGGCAGCCGTTCTTAGCGCCCTCGTTCTGGTGCAACGATACGATCTCCTGACAACACCGGATGTGTCTTGGTGGCGTTTGGCCTGAGTTTTCCAATTAAGTTCAGTGATGCTAACTGCTTTTAGCATCACATCATATCGTATCGGTTCCCGGTGTTGTGATAATTGTTGTTTCCAGTTTCTTGCTAATCCCTCTTGTCTTTTTAGTTTAATATTAGTACTCTCGTGTTTGGCAGGAGTTGTGTGGCGTTAACAACCATTTGTTTATTTGTGTGGTCTCTCTGTTGCAGGTCGCATCTACAAGTGTCTCTTTACAGGCTCTGTGAGCTCTCTCCTGACGCTGCCGTTGGACATGCTCTCTACGTAAGTAAAAGCCGCCTCCTCCAGCTGGACGGTTCCTGTTTCAGTGCCGACGTTTGTTTACACGTTTGCATTGGGTTCCTGCAGAGACAACCTCCTAGCAGACTGTCTACAGGGTTGCTTTGTTGTCACCTGCACCTTGTGTGCGTTCATCAGCCTGGTGTGGCTCAGAGAACAGATCGTGCACGGGGGCGCCCCTCAGTGGCTGGAACAGCAGCAGCAGCAGCCGCCGCCAAACGTGGCTGGACAAGCTAATGAGGTACAGATGTTTCGTATTGTTCTCACCGACGAGAACATTTCTACACATCCTTAAATGTTCCATTAACATCTCCTCTCAACTCTAGGCCCAAGCTGCAGGTCAGGGAGCCGCTGATGAGCCCCCCGTAGCCCAGCCGGCCCCCGCCAATCCGCCAGCTCAGAACGACGCTGAACCTGAACCCCCTGATGCCCCCCCAGACCAGGCTGATGATCCTGAATTGGAGGAGGAGGGACCTGCCGCTGAAGATGCAGATCCCAACAACGGAGCACAAGGTTAGCAAAGGATTAGTCTTCATTTAACCGATTCGTGGGTTAATGATGTCATAAACAGCTGACTAATGTGGTGTGTCGCTGCAGATGACATGAACTGGAATGCCTTGGAGTGGGACAGAGCAGCAGAGGAGCTCACCTGGGAGAGGGTAACTGATGTTACTGTGGATCTGTCAGCCTAACGATCAGATGTGATACATGTGTGCATGAATTGTGTCCTCCTTCCTTCTCAGATGCTCGGCCTGGACGGGTCTCTGGTGTTTTTGGTATGTCTTACTAAGTGCTCTACTTATCCTGAGACATAAAATCGCTTTAGAAATGCTTAAGTGGAGTAAAAATGGCGGTCTTTGTTTTGCAGGAGCATGTGTTTTGGGTCGTGTCCCTGAACACGCTCTTCATACTGGTGTTTGGTGAGTAGACTGGCACTAGTTAGAGCTTAACGCGCTGTCCTTTTTAGTAATCATGGAATGAAATGAAAACATGTTTTTTTTTCATCCTGGCAGCCTTTTGTCCCTACCACATCGGGCACTTCTCAGTTGTTGGTCTCGGCTTTCAGGAATACGTAAGACGACATCAACTCACTCCATCATGCACCATCCCTGGTTTATTCACATTAAGCAGAATGATTACAACTCTGTTATTCAGGTTCAAGCATCTCACTTTGAAGGTCTGATCACAACAATTGTTGGCTACGTGCTGCTGGCCATGACTCTCATCCTGTGCCACGTATCCTTAAGCACCACTCGGCTTTAAAGTGTGAAACTGTCAGCAGTGACACGCTTCGCTCTAACCGTATCGATCCTTAACTGCTGCCTTCAGGGACTCGCCGCTCTGGTCAGGTTCCAGCGCTCCAGACGTCTCCTCGGAGTCTGCTACATCGTTGTCAAGGTAACGCATATAAATGCGTCTGTGCCCGACTGTTGCTCGTATCGACTGCGACCTTGATGGAAGGACAGAGATGTGTTTTTTTTTTTGCTGCCTAAATATAAAACTGGTTTTATACATAGAGAAGGAATAAAAGATGTTTGTTTCCATATGAATGTCTGTGGAGGTTCTCAGTCATCCAGGTCATTGTAGTCTAATGAGCTTTGAAAGAAAAGCGTCTGGTGAAACGTCTTCAAGCAACTCAAAGAAGTCCAGACGCTTTTCTTTCAAAGCTCATTAGTTTCCATATGAATAAAATTCTTACCTGGATTCAGATGGAGGCATTTAACATCTGGTTGTCTGTGTGTATATAAGGCTCAATCCCATGACTCACGCTGCGCCCTACGGTCTTCTGTGAAGTGCACTTGGTGGAAGTGCAGTAAGGCTTCGAGTGTGTGGTACACAAGTGTGCAAATAATTCCTGAATTGGGACCAGCAGCATGGCGTCATCAACTGCCAGGATGCTGGTCGCTCTTTTTCACAAAAAAAAAAAACTTTATTAACAACTTTCAAACAAACAATTATTTGAAATAATCAATCAATCAAAGCTTTATTTATAAAGCGCCTTCCGCAACCCTGTCAGGAAGCCCAAGGCGCTGGACATGGTACAGTACAAAGTCAAATAAAGTGAATAAATCAGAAAATAAAAGCAATTCAAATTACAGATTACACATTACAAAAAAGTGAAACATTCTAGTAGAATACAAATGTGTAAAACAAGGGAAAAATTGAACCAATGAAGACTGTGAGATAAAATCAACATAAATGACGGCCTAAATCAAATACATTCAGGGAACGCCAAGCGGAGGAGGTGTGTTTTTAGGCGGCTCTTGAAGACTGGCAAAGATGGGGACAGCCTAACTGAGGGTGTCAACTGGTTCCAAAGTGACGGTGCTAGTACCGAGAAAGCCCGGTCCCCACGAGTATGACACCTAGAATGAGGAACAACGAGCAGGCCTTGGTCAGAGGAGCGCAGAGCGCGTGATGGGGAATGTCTGTCCAGGAGCGTGGCCAGAAATAAATGTACATTCATTGCTGCTTTGTCTAAAACATTCAGAGCATTAACTAATTGTCCTAAAATGAACTACTTTCATTGGAAAATACGTATTTTCAGATAAGGCACTTGCGCCTTTTCTCCCACAGCAATGGATTGTGGGTAATAGCCTTCACCCAAGTCTGCATCGATGCAGATTTGGGTGAAGTGCAGATCAAGGGTGCAAAAGGGGCGGGATCAACTTCCACACCTGAGACGGGGGACGCCTACGCACTCGTAGCCCTGGCTGGGATCGCGTAATTGAAGGGTGCAAGTGTGCTGGTATTGGAATTTGGCCAATCTATGTTTATCTGTTCATCTCTAAATCTATCTACCTTCTCAGTGACCTAGAGATAGAGCGTCCGCCCTGGGGCCGTGAGGTCGGGGTTCAAAAGCGGTCGAGTCGTACCAAAGACTTTAACAATAGGACCCAATGCCTCCCTGCTTCATACTCAGCTTTAAGGGGTTGGATTGGGGGGGGGGGGGGGGGGGGGGGGGGGGGGGCTGGGTTTAAACCACCAAATAGTTCCTGAGCGCAGCCACAGCTGCAGCTCACCACTCCCCACAGGGATGGGTCAGATGCGTGTGATGACTAATGGGACTTTAAATATGGATAAATATAAGTACGTTTTTCCTTAAAACCATCTCTCCTCCTCCAGGTGTCCTTGCTAGTTGTCGTGGAGATTGGTGTTTTTCCTTTGATCTGTGGCTGGTGGCTTGACATCTGCTCATTGGTAAGTCTCTTCTTCTGCTTCTGTTACTGAAATAATCATCATTACTGTTGCGTTAAATTAGATCTTTTGCAGGTTTTCACACGTTTGTTGGAAGATAACCCGTTTCCTGTGGCTCTGTAGCTGCCGGTGCCGTGTAGAGTGGTGGCGTTGTGTAAAGATCTGTTTTGCTAACAGCTTGACAGCCTTAGAGATTCTTTCTTTGATTTATTCTTGTTAAAATCTAGAGGTCAAAGTTCATTCCAGCATCCAGGAATCATTTGATCGTGCTGGAATGAAAGGATCGACTATAAATGGATGCAGCCTGTCGTAAATAAGCGCCAAACGTCATCTTAGACCGGGCTAACGTTCTTTTCTTAATCATGACCGTCTGACAGGAAATGTTTGACGCCTCGCTGAAAGACAGAGAGCTGAGTTTTAAATCGGCTCCTGGTACCACCATGTTCCTGCACTGGCTGGTGGGAATGGTTTATGTCTTCTACTTTGCATCGTTCATTCTTCTCCTAAGAGAGGTAAGAGTTGATGATTACCAGAGAACACGAACCGCTCTGACGCCCCTCGGGCGGACGTTTCGCTGTAACGCCTCATTTTTCCATCAGGTGCTGCGACCTGGAGTGCTGTGGTTTTTGAGAAACCTGAACGACCCGGATTTTAACCCGGTGCAGGAGATGATCCACCTGCCCATCTACAGACACCTGCGGCGGTTCATCCTGTCCGTGGTGGTCTTCGGCTCCATCGTGCTGCTCATGTTGTGGCTGCCCATCAGGCTGATTAAAGTCATGCTGCCCACGTTCCTGCCCTACAACGTGATGCTCTACAGGTGCACTTACCAACCAGCTGCAGGCTTCTGGAGCACAATGCTTGGGTCTAAAGAGGATGTTTCGTGTCCTTTAACATGGTTTTACCTTCTCTTCAGCGACGCACCTGTTAGTGAGTTGTCTTTGGAGCTGTTGCTGCTCCAGGTTGTGCTTCCTGCTCTCCTGGAACAAGGACACACCCGTCAGTGGCTGAAGGGTCTGGTCAGAGCCTGGACCGTCAGCGCTGGCTACTTATTGTGAGTCAAACCTTTTAGCTCTTTATTTCCCTCATTTTCTCTTTTAATCCCCTTCCTGTTTGTTTTTGTTTGCAGAGACCTTCATTCCTACCTGCTCGGGGAGCAGGAAGACAACGAAGCCAACCAAGCAGCGAACAACAACAACAACCCCCCCAATGCTCATCAAAACAACAACAACCCGGCCCCAGCTGTTGGGGAGGGGCTACATGCAGCGCACCAGGCCATCCTCCAGCAGGGGGGGCCTGTGGGTTTCCAGCCATACCACCGTCCCCTCCGCTTCCCGTTTAGGGTGAGGCAGTTCTTTAAAATGCATCCATGGACTCCTCCAATGTGTTAAAACTGCTTTAAAACTCTGTTTTTCTGTTTGTTTCTGTAAATAAAGACTTTTTTTTTCTAGCAAAATTTAAAGAAAAGTGTTTTTTTCTTGACAATGCTGCAAAAACACTTAGACTGTGTGTTCTATTTTCTACAGATTGTTCTATTGATCATATTCATGTGCATCACCCTGCTGTTGGCCAGTTTGGTTTGTTTAACTCTTCCAGGTAAGGAAGTAGCTGCAGCTTACAGCTGACTGATACCCAAACTATTTCAACTAAAGAGTAATATCCCTCCAAAATTACAGCGTTGGCGCTGATTTAAGTGTGTGTGTGTGTGTGTGTGTGTGTGTTTCAGTGTTCACAGGCCGCTGGCTGATGTCCTTCTGGACGGGAAGCTCTAAAATCCACGAGTTGTACACAGCAGCATGCGGCCTGTACGTCTGCTGGCTCTCTGTGCGCGGCATCACCGTTCTGCTGGCCTGGATGCCACAGGGACGCATCGTAATCATGCGCAAAGTCCAGGAGTGGACACTCATGGTACGAATGAGTGAGCAGTGTTTGTAACTGCAGCTAATGCTGTATTTAGAAACTAGACTGGTGATAAAGGGCATTTATATTAATTTGCTTCTCCTTCCTACTGGTTAAAACAACCCTAGAGCAGCCTGCTGTAGCTAGCGCTAACACAACCTAGCTGATGCTGAATAAACTACAACGTAAATTGATCCAAACTACTGGACCAAAAAATGTAACTAAGAAGTAGCAACAAAGCCAGGTCAGCATCAATCCTCCTTTAGCTCGTAGGCCGCGCTGATGTTCACTCTGGTGTTAGCGCTTTGCTTCACTTTCAAGGACATTACTCTCTCACTTTTACTTCCAGTCACCGCCATGATGCCAACAAAGCAAAATTATGTTTTTTTTTTGCTTTTTAGCGACGGGCGCCGTGCTAAAACCAACTACTAGCCTTTATATAAGCTACCAGTGCAGTAAACCGGTATAGCCGTAACGGGGGTAGAGGCCTTCCTCTATAATGTTCCTACCATTACCAGTAAAGTGCAGTTTCTGGCTAGCAGTGGGCTACAGAGTGTTGTTCAGTGTGAAGTTGCTCAAGAACAACTGAAACCAGTTTAAAAGCAAAAGCTCAAACTGGTAAAACCGCTGCTTTAAACCCATTCTGTTCTCCCTGGTGTTTGTAGATCCTGAAGACTCTTGTTGTGGCTTTGCTGGTTGCTGGAGTCATTCCCCTGCTACTGGGCCTGCTCTTTGAACTGGTCATCGTGGCTCCACTCAGAGTGCCACTGGACCAGACGCCTCTGTTTTATCCCTGGCAGGTAGGATCGGGTGCACACGTGATGTCACTCGGTCACATTTCCCTTTCTAGATGTTCATTCTTCCGTTTCTTCTGCAGGACTGGGCTCTCGGGGTCCTTCATGCCAAAATCATTGCAGCCATCACCCTCATGGGCCCTCAGTGGTGGCTGAAGGCCGTTATTGAGCAGGTGCATTTAAGATCATTACATTACATAGACTAGTTAGCGCCGCACAAATGAACTGAGTTATTTATTTTTGCCCCTCAGGTTTATGCAAATGGAATTCGTAACATTGATCTCCAGTTTATTATCCGAAGGCTGGCAGCTCCTGTCATCACGGTCCTGCTGTTGTCTCTGTGTGTGCCGTACGTGATCGCTGCCGGAGTGGTGCCCGCCGTGGGTCAGTGTGAATCCAGCGGAGCATTTAGCTGCTGCTGCAGCGTCGTCTCTAGCTAACATCCCAGTGAGACACTGGCTTTAATGACTGTATTACATGATATGGTTGTTGTGTGCAGGAGTTACGGCTGAGATGGAGATTTTAATGCAGAGGAGGATCTACCCATTCCTCCTGATGATCGTGTCACTCGTTGGGATTCTGTCTTTTCAGATCAGACAGTTTAAACGCCTTTATGAACACATCAAGAATGACAAGTACGCATCTGTTCTGCCTCTTTTCCTCCCAGAAATCAAACGCTATTGAATCATCTTAATGTTCCGTCATCTGTTCACGCAGGTATTTGGTTGGTCAGAGGCTCGTCAACTACGAACGTAAATCCGGCCGAGCGAGCTCAGTCCCGCCCTCCGACCCCATCGCAGAGTGAATTCTCACCTCCAGCGTGTGCCACATGTTTGCATCTTCTCTGCTCAATCCTTAGATTTCAGCTCAGTCCTCATAGAGTAATCCTACTAAATCTTCTGTGGATCATAGTAGATTTGATGGATTGTGTTCAGTCTCTTTCACACCCACTGAAGACGGGATGGGAAACTCATACAGTCCTGATGGCGGGACGGCCCAGTTCTATTTCAACCAAACGGTGTAGGCAGATAAAGTAAAGGTTTGATCTTAATCCATCGTCCGTATTGTCGCTCATGCCTTGCTTTAAGTGCTGCCTGATTAATTGTACATGTGTAAATACTCTGAACACAGACTTTGTCTTACGAAATTGGACAGTTGTGAATAACTGACCATTGTACATCTTTAAACCGTATGTATAATTTATTAAATCAAAGTGACCGTTTCTCTTTTCTGTTGTATTCTGTTCTGTATGGAAATTGTTAAAATCAGGAAGTAAAAACATTTCAAACATTAAAGTTCTAGATGATTCCCATTGTAATGGAAGAAGTAGGGTCAGTATGTGACTGGTGGAGGGGTGATGGACTCATCCTTTGGTTTTAGAAGTGATGGAAGTATATTCCCAAACAAATCCTTGAAAACTGCAGGAATCTCCTGAAGGTCCCTGGTTGTGGTTTCCTCCAAACCTCTAGTTGCTTCTGATGGAAACCTGGAGGTGGATCAGCCTGTGGCCGATGTCAGTAACCCTCCCATCTGGTTTGAGGATCATGCAGAGGAACTTGCAGAAGAAAATGGAACAAGAAGTCTGGTGGTACTGACACATCTCCCTGAAGTCCTCCAGGCACCAGGGTTCTAGGGTGAACTTGTAGACCTCAGTCCATGTCTCCCACTTTGTTGTTATATCACCCAGCCGGCATGCAGAAATAAAGCTCTTTATAACTTTAGGATATCCAGAAGCAGAGAGAACCTCGGTGACAAGAACACAGCAAAAAGAACTGGAGACACCCGAGTCCAATAAGACCAGCTCAGTCCCAGTTTTAGTGGACATTTCCTAAGAAGTCAAAATTCAAAAACATGTATTTAGGTTAATGCCAGGGATTATATGAGTTTATCCACTATAATCAATATTTTGTAAGACTGTCTCCATCTAGTGGTCACTAGTGAAACATTCAGCCCATCAAAAAAACTTTCAAACATACTCAGGACGTTGTGGATTGGTGGGCAGAATACTTCAAAGACCTCCTCAATCCCACCGATACGTCTTCCAGTGAGAATGCAGAGTCTGGGGACTTTGGGTTGGCCTCTCAACTCTCTGGTGCTGAGGTCACTGAGGTGGTTAAAAAGCTCCTCTGTGGCAAGGCTCCAGGGGTGGATGAGATCCGCCCGGAGTTCCTTAAGGCTCTGGATGTTGTGGGGCTGTGTTGGCTGAGGCAGCTCTGCCAAAGCTTGGTCATTCGGGAGGGGCTCGGAGTAGACCCGCTGCTCCTCCACATCGAGAGGAGCCAGTTGAGGTGGCTCGGGTATCTGGTCAGGATGCCTCCTGGACGCCTCCCTGGTGAGGTTTTCCGGGCACGTCCAACCGGGAGGAGACCTAAAGGTAGACCCAGGACACGGTGGAGTGACTATGTCTCTCACCTGGCCAGGGAACGCCTTGGGATTCCCCCGGAGGAGCTGGCCAAAGTGGTTGGGGAGAGGGAAGTCTGGGCCTCTCGCCTTAGGCTACTGCCCCCGCGACCCGACTCCGGATAAGCTGATGAAAATGGATGGATGGATCTATTTTTTGAAAGTAGATAAATGTTGCAAAAAGAAATGCCCGAAATTTTTAATTTAGTCAAGCAGAAGAGTCCGCGTTTATTTAAAAAGAAAGCCCCCCTGAAGGACACTTTAGGACAGATCAGCAATAAAGAGGGGTCAAAAGGTCTAAAGCAGGGACACAAACTGGACTTTGTTGAGTCATTTAACACATTAGTTTCAAATTAAAAAGGACAAGATTGTAATCCAGTGACCAGTGCCTTGTTTATTTAAATAATGCAGATTGTGAACAGCAGGGGTTCTCATCTGTTGTCCTCTATGATGATGCTCCGTTTGGGGTAGGTATCTAGATCCACGAATATATAACGAAATTCATATTTCCCCGTTTCTGGGTTCTGAAGTAAGAAACCAAAGACAACAAATCAAAAGACAATGGATGCAGTTTTCCTCTCAGCTCTTAGTATTTGATACCAGCTATTATAAAATGGATATTGTGTGAGCAGATCAGAAACCTACACACCTCCTTCGACTCTGAATGAACAGTTCCTTTCAGGCCTGGCTCGGAGCCTTCAATGTAAAACTTCAGTCTCAAGTGCTTCAGTCCATCCTTCAGATACTCCAGATGACTGAGGCGAAAACAAAAACAGATTAAAAAACAGCATAATCCCAAATAAACACAGTTTTATGCCTAGTTTAGTTTGTACCTGAGATGCTGCCTCCTTCCTCTGCGGGTGGTCTCACCGTAGCACTTGATTGGCTCGCCAAATGCCCCGATTACCTGCACTTTCAAATCAAAAACAGCACCGTGCATGTAACTTTATACTGAAAAGAGCCAAAAGAGTAAATCATTTGTCATTCTCACCTCTGGGTGTGACCTGACTTTATCAAAAGCTTTTGCGTAGACTTTATTTGGGCTTTTGGACGAAAACAGCTCCTGGAAAACCACATACAGCAGTCCACCTAAACACAAACGCACACATTTTTATTTATTTTGACAGCAGCGGGTAAGATCAAATTAAATATGCTGCTAATCACACGTTTGTTTCTGCAGTCTGGCTACTCTCACCTGTCACTCCCAGTCCGATGATCACAACTATCAGGTAGGTGAAGTCTTTACCAGCTTCTTTTACTGGAAGACACCCACAATGAGACTTTAGTAAACAACAGCATGCAGTAATTGGCATAAACTAACCCTAACCTACAGCATTTTGTACCGTGCTGCATAGCAACATAGCGTTAGCATTAGCTTACCCTTCTGGGAAGCTGAAGCTTTGGGGCTTGCGCGCTGATACCTGGACACCGCCGCTTTGTTCTCGTCCTCTGGCCTGCTCCTGTTTCTGGCTGAACAGTGGAGCGGTCTCACAGCCACACGGAGACAACTCAGCGCAGACAGAGGACTATCTGTCCCGAGAAGGACCAGTCCTGGTGTTGTGGACAAAGTCCTGCGCGCGTGAGCTAACAGTCGCAACTGACATGTTTGCGCTGCCGCTGTGTGTTGCAGACTTCGGTGTAACAAGGCTTTTAAAGGGTGAAGATACGCCATTATTGTCAATAAACCCACATTGAGGTGAACGGCAGTACAAACTACAGCGGCTGGCCTACTATAGTGTATAATTATGTCACCGTGACGTTTAATTATAGAACATTAATCGGCTAATGTCACACAAACAAAGCTGGTTTAGGTCGCACCAATATGGCGTAGCTTCTTCTTTGTTGTCTTTATTAGGAGTAAACAAATCAGCTTGGACTACCTCCACCTACCGGACAAAAACGAAACAACAAGCTTGCAATACCAGGAACATTTCCCCCCATTTGTTATGGTGGCTCTTGTGTAAATCCTTGTGAGTCGTTTTCTGTGAAGAAAAAAGTAAAACATTTGCTCTTCTGTTTCAGTAAGTAGAAGTTAGATGGAGCAGAGATCTGAAATGTTCAGCTAGCTGCTAATATTTCCTGCTTTAGCTCATTGATTCCATCTGGTTAAACACAGATACATTAGATATATTTATTGAGTTTTAGTAGTTAAGTAGTTTGAATAAGAGAAGATGTTCTGGCTTTCTCATTATTTGGACTAAACTATGCTATGTTTTATTTTGAAAGAACATACAGGAAGTAATAATGAGTATGGTCTTGTTTAGCTTTATTAACATTGACTGTAGTAACAGTTTTTGTCTTCCAGAGGACGGAAATATCCTTAATCTTAAAAGCCATAGACTGAAGGACTGAGTTCGATCTACATGATGCAGGAAACGTTCACATCCTGGTACTTCTGAGAAGAATTTACAGGAAGTGTACTAATTATTGTAACTTTACAAGTGCAGTTCCCCATTCTCCTCCTCCCTTTCCTCATTTAATCAATACATTTGCAGTAGTCTCTAGTAGGAATAAACATCTCGTGTGTCATACTCTGGGGAAAGAAAACACCGGCGCACCATTTTCAGGAACTAGAAGTGAGCCACATCAGAGCTGAGCTTCAAACGGCGGCTTTTCCAGAACTGCGCTGCTCTGGGTGGCTGCATGTTGGAGTAGCTCTGTTGACTATATGTAAGTTTTGTCTTTTCTTGGGCATTTTTTCTTATAGTTTCTCAAGAAAAACTGTATTTTTTGGACACTTTACTTTTCTGTTTCTGGTGCTGTGAAGCTTGGAGGATTTTTACTGCTATTTCTTTTAGCTTTTTTCACTTTTTGAGCATTTGTTATGATGCATAACCATGGCAACAAGCTGGTTTACAATCGAGAGCAGCTGATTAACATTGGAAAGGCTGAAATAATACCTCAACTGAAGCCACAAATCCCAAATGAGCTAAAACGCAAGAAGCGTGGGTGCAGAGCGGGAGCAAAACGGAGATGGAGAAAGAGGAAATTCAAACCATCTCTTCCATCGATCATAATGGGCAATGTGAGATCACTGGCCAACAAGATGGAGGAACTCCAAGCCCTTTCAAGGACTCAGCCAGAGTGTCGGCAGTTTCGGAACCACTGGAGGAGATAATGCAAAGAAGGATTCTCCAGAGAATCAAGAAACTTATGGACAACCCTGAGCATTCTCTTCACAAGACTGTCCGACAACAGAAGAGTGTCTTCAGTCAGAGGCTTCTTCAGTTTCAATTCAATTCAAAAATACTTTATTAATCCCAGAGGGAAATTGATTGCTGTAGTAGCTCAGAATAATAATAATAATAATAATCAAGTCATCAAAGAGTTATTGTATATTACAATGGCTGTTGGCAGGAAGGATCTCCAGTAGCGGTCAGTGTTGCAGCCAAACTGAAGAAGCCTCTGACTGAAGACACTCTTCTGTTGTCGGACAGTCTTGTGAAGAGAATGCTCAGGGTTGTCCATCATTTTCTTGATTCTCTGGAGAATCCTTCTTTGCATTATCTCCTCCAGTGGTTCCACAGTCGTCCCCAGAACAGAACCAGCTTTGTTATTAGGCTGTTGAGCCTTTTCAGGTCCCTGCTTCTGATGCAACTACCCCAACAGACGATGGCTGAAGAGATTACACTCTCAACAACAGACGTGTAGAAGATTTGCAGCATCTTGCTACAGACATTGAAGGACCTAAGCGTCCTCAAGAAGTGCAATCTGCTGTGTCCCTTCTTGTAAACAGCTTCACTGTTCTTTCTCCAGTCCAGTCTGTTGTCCAGGTGAACTCCAAGGTATTTGTATTCCTCAACCACCTCCACTTCTTCTCCCATGATGGAAACAGTGTTTGACTCCACCCTTTGACTCGCTGCAACACTGACCGCTACTGGAGATCCTTCCTGCCAACAGCCATTGTAATATACAATAACTCTTTGATGACTTGATTATTATTATTATTTTGAGCTACTACAGCAATCATTTTCCCTCTGGGATTAATAAAGTATTTTTGAATTGAATTGAATTTTGGAGTCTTATTTCCTGATATTTGGACATCTCGCCTCGGATTGGATAACCATTACACGACATACCACTGACTTGCAACGTGGATGTTTTTTCTCCAGAACTAACTCAAACCTGGAGGAGTTCTGCCATGTGGTGGTAAGGCTAACAGTTAGCTTCTACAAGCTGGGACGTTCTCTGCTGATTTCTAGCGTCAGGAAACTACACACAGTCTCTTTAAATGACAATGTGACGTAGATCTGTCAGGCTTTTCAAATCCTAGTTTCACCGTCTATCAGAAGCTAATGCAGGAGATAGGTGTAGGAGACTATTTTCATGTTCAGCCTGCATGAAATAATTTTTCAGTGTTCCACACCTTTAATATTAATATTCACAAGAGGAAAAAAATGTTTTTTTCCAGCGTCCCTGATATAAGGAGGGTATTCGCTAAATGGCACTTTCCTGCCCATTCATTTGTTTGGCTTGTATAAAAGTTTGAAGATCTACTTTCTCCACCTAACTTTATGTGGAAGAAATGAGTTGTAACAACGTAATCAGAAAACATTAGTTTATTTAAAATGTTCAGTCCAGCATTTTATTCTCATGATTTCAAATAAATCTTATCATGGATGTTAAAAAATGTACAAAAATAGTCGTGAATGTGTTAAACATAGATCAGAGGGTATCAGTAAAAGAGTGATTAAACAAATGTTAGTTGATGGGCTGATAAAATTGAAAACACTCAGTTTTTTTCAAGTTTATTTCATTTTAAATATTCTCTGCCATCATTTGTTTTCTTATAAAAAGCAACCTGATTCTCTACTGTGAGAGTGTGACATCAAAGTAGAAAACAAGTGAAATAAGCAGTACGCTCACTGATCGGATGGTCACATGAAAATGATTTGAGAACCTGAATCTGTTTTTTTTTCCTCCTCTATGAGTAGTTTTACATTAAAGGTACCATAATTTTTCAAATATCAAACGTTCCGCCTTCTGTCTGAAATAACCAAATGCTCAGGTGGTCGTCAGCACCAGCCAGGAGTGGAGCAGCACGGGATGCACCTTCATCGTCCCAAGGCAACGGAGAAAACCTTATTAAGAAATGTAAAAAATAAAAATCTAATTCTCATCACAGCACTCTACGTCAGTAATCAGGGGAAGAGTTCACTCAGGATGCACACGGGAGAAAAAGCTTAGCTCCAAATGCTGTCAAACTTGGCAAGATGCAGTGGACTGATGCATCTGTCTGATGTATCTGCAGAGAAATAAAAACATTATTACTGTAAGTCTGTGTGTTGGTTATTAGCTGCCTGGGCTGCCTGTGATTAAACTTTTAGCTTTCCAAATCCCACGACTGAAGTGGGCACGTGACTTTATCTGTTTGCTTATGAACCTTAAAGAAGAGTAAGACAGAAATAAGAGTGTTCTGGACAGGATGTTGATTATAAAACGGAGACAGCACACAGAAAAAAGCTATGATAGAGAAACAAAAATGTTTTATTAGTTTTTGCAGGGAGATGTGTGCAATCTTGTGTGTATGGAAGGAAACAGGGGATGTAAATACAGTACATGACATAGAAAACAGAAATAAAAACAGTGTAGATGGCAAAAGCTACAAAAAACCTTCACAGTGAAAACGAATAGGTACATGTTCAGACAGCAATACAAAAAGGACACAGCACGGTGTGAGTTGTGTTGAAATGTTATTTTTAAAATTATTACTGCTAAAAAGTGACCTGATCATCATGAAGCTGTAAATAGACAAAATCTGACTAAACTTCACTTGTACTTCCACGTGTTTTTGAAGAGACTTTATGGTCGATGTCGGCCCACTAAATCGGCCGACTGTCATTGGTCTGCCCCTAGTCTCTAGTATAAATGAGTGTCTCGTTGGTCGATCTCTGTGGAAAAAAAGTTCTGGTGCTCCTATTTCAAGAAGTGGAATTTAGTTAGAGGAGAGAGAGTAAAATACGGCAAAAATTAGAGTCATATTTCCTGATATTTGGGCATCTCCCCTCTGATTGGCAAACAGCAACGAGATTACAATTGACTCCAATCACTCTGCATG